TTAAGATTTATTTATTTTTATTTAAAGCAGATTTTGCAGAGAGGAAAGGAGAAATGTAGAGATTTTCCATCCATTGATTCATTCCCCAGATGGCCACAGTAGTTGGAGCTGTACTTGTCAGGAGCCAGGAGCTTTGTCCAGGTCTCCCACATGCTTGCAGGGACCTGAGCACTTTGGCCATCCTTTGCTGCTTTCCAGGCACATTAGCAGAGAGATGGATTGGATATGGAGCAGCCCAGACTCAAACCAGTACCCATCTATGATGCCTGCACAGCAGACAGAGGCTTAAACTACAGTGCCATGGCGCCACCCTAATTTTGTGTAATCTTTGGAAGGATCTTAATGTAATTTTTTTTTAATATTCCAGGCCACTTTATAATTTTAATCTATATATTTGAAAACAGAATGGCAAGAAAAGAGAGGGAGAGACAGACATCTCACATCAGCTGAGCCTCTCGAGAGACCCTCAGTATTAGAGGTTGGTCCGGCGGAAGCCAGGAGCTGGGATCGTGATTCAGGACTCCCAGGCGCGTGAAAGGGACTCGGTACTTGAGCCCCATCACCTGCTATCTCCTAGGCACATTAGTAGCAAGCAGGCTGGGAAGCAGAGCTAGGCTCAAACCCAAACACTTCAATATAGGAGGTAGGCATCTCAACCAGCGTCTTCAATGCTAGGTCAAATGCCTGTCCCGTGTGTGAAATGACAATATGTGTTCCAGTCTCCTTTGCCGGGTCCCCCTGTTCTTCCATTTCTTCTACATCCACTCCCAGAGACCTTGCTGGCTGTGTCTGCAGCAGAGACCTCTTCCCCCAGCTCTTATTCTTCTCTCGCTGCCCCGGCGTGTCTGCTTGGATAGCCCCAGACGTCATGGGTCCAGACACTGCCCCTCAAAGCTTGCTCTTCTTGTTCTCCCCGTCTCAGGTGATGTCTTTGCCCTGGGCATGGGGTAGAGTGATGGGGATTTCTCTCTCACTTTCTCTCACTTCTGTGTTCAGCCCACCAGCAGCTGTTAGTCCGCACACTCCCAGTTGATCTCAGATTGTACAGGTGTCTATTCCCATTGTATCCACACCACCCTTGGCTTGTGAGGATGATCTCATTGACCTTCAGAATGGTCTCTCTGCTTCTACACTTCCCCTCAGCCCTTTGTCTCTGTCCTCAGCACAGCAGTTGGATGATCCAAGTGCTCCAGTGGCTCTGTCCCTGAAAACCAGAATCCTTTGAACAAGGAGGCCGTGCCAGTCTGCACCTTCTTGCCAGCGAGTCTCTGCTGGCCCTCGCCAGGACCCTGGCCTTTTGCTCTGGCAGCCTGTGAGGCTTGCTTCCACCCAGCACCTGCATAGGGTTGCTGCTCTCTCCTGGGTTGAGCTTCCTTGTGCATCAAACAGCTCATTGCCTTATCTCCTTAAGACACCAGCCCGCTGAGATGTTCCCCAACCTAACTGGAAATTGCAAGGGTTGGCTTTTGGCCTGCTTGGGTTACCTGCATTGCATTCACTTGAGTGTCTGGGTTCAGTGCCTTCTCTGACTCCAGACTGCAGCTTCCTGCTGGTGTGATAATGACTCAGGTGACTGGGTTCCTGTGCAGTGCGGTGCCATCACACCCGCTGGGGGCACGTGGAGGGGGCAGCCACAGAGGAGCTCTCTCTCTCACACTGTTGCTCTGTCTGTGCCTCTCAAAGAAACGAAAAATGGAAACGGAAATAAAACTGCAAACCCTTCACCTTTTTTTTTTCTCTGAAGTAGATTTTACCTTCTGATGGATGTACTTTACAGATTTCCTGTTTATTGTATTGATTGTTTCCTGCATTAGAATGTGTATTTCATGGTGACAAGAATTTCAGTTTTTCCCTTGAGGTAAATACTTGTTATCAGTTAAGACATATTTGCATAGAAGTTAAAGGAGAACACATAAACTGAATTTGCTGCATCTTTTTTATTTGTCATGGGGATCACATGGGTGACAGAGTAGGCACAGTAAGCAGCCCTGAAGAGCCATGGATAAGGGGGAGGGAACAGATTTCCAACAGCAGAGGTACAGAAAGGCCAGTAACTGAGATGGACGTGTTCAGGAAGAACAGGTTGCTGTAAGGAGATGGTTTTCACTCTTGAGACTGGCACGTGATGCACACGGTGTCACTAAGCATAGACACTGGGGTTGGGGGAAGGTGTGTGTTGGCACAGACCTCACAGAGGTGATGATGGCAGTGTGTGGTCTTCATCTGCTTTTCTAGTGAATGCCATGTGTGCAGATGCATACATGGGTACAGGAACTGTAGCAGTGCCGTTAGGAGAAAATGGGAAAGAATTTAAATGTCAAAACAGAACGCACAAGCTCTTCAAAGATCTATACAAAATTATAGCTATGTAGTAATCTAAAAGAAAGACTGATACTTTCCAATGGCCTTCATATTTTATACTTGAAAGAAAAAAAGATGTTTATCTGTGAAATCTTATGGAAAACACACTAGCACACAGTATACTCATAAGATGAAATAGTATACAGCTTTAAAAAGATGATCAATGGGGCAGGCCATTGTGGTGAACGGGTTAGGCCATGCCATGAGATGCCCACCTCTCATATCAGTGTGCCTGGGATCAGGTGGCACCTCCACTTCCAGTTCGTCTCCTTGCTGGTGTGCACCCTGGGAGGCACCATTGGCAGGCGAGTATCTGGATCTGTGACATTGTATGTGAGGCCTGAACAGAGTTCTTCGCTCTGGGCTCTGATCTGATCATTCTTTCTGGCTCTGCCTTTCAAATAAACAATTTAAAAACCCTCAAAATTTAGGATGATCTTTATGTATATACATTTGGCAAAAATCCTGTAGGCATCAGTTAAGAGAAAAAACCCTTACTTCTAATATATGTATATTCTCATTTGTGTAGTAGCAAATTCAAATGCTGTTTTATACATGTGCGCTGATATATACAAAAGTGTGGAAAAACTTAGGGGCACATAAAGACTAGATATGAAGAGTGTTATTTTGAGTTGGGGGGAAGAAGGTATACTCTATCCTTCTATAGTTGAATTTTTACCAAGAAAACTATTCATGTTTGATTTTATAATAAAAAGGAAATTTATTTTATTTTATTTTATTTTATTTTATTGGAAAGTCAGCTATACAGAGAGAAGGAGAGATAGAGAGGAAGATCTGTCTGATTCATTCCCCAAGTGGCCATAATGGTTGGGGCTGAGACGATCCAAAGCCAGGAGCCAGGAGCTTCTTCTGGGTCTCCCACACAGGTGCAGGGGTCTAACACTGGGCCATCCTTGACGGCTTTCCTAGGCCACAAGCAGAGGGCTAGATGGGAAGCAGGGCCCCTGGGACATGAACCGGAGCCCATATGGGATCCTGGGGTGTCCAAGGCAAAGACTTTAGGGTCTTCTAAGTGCTAGGCTACTGTGCCAGGCCCAACTTTTTTAATTTTTAAGAATTTATTTGACAAGAAAGAACTCTCCCATTTGTTGGTCTACTTCCTACATATCTGTCTGTTGGCACTAGCACCGTTTATGCACATGGGCCTGAGAAAGTGACGTGTCCTTAAGTCTCATGTCCATTTCAGTGAGGAGGCACTTCTGTGGAGAGAGTGGGTTCAAGATGAAAATGTTAAAAAGTCGTGAGTCACAACAAAATGGCCTTTCACAGAAACAGTCATCCGTGGGGACATTTCTCTGAGTAGGGGTATGACAAGGCCTGGGAAGTGCTTGCCCTTTTGAGTGCATAGGGCCAACTGTTAACCATCTTGGTTTTTCCACAGTGAACCCTCCCTTTATATACCCACAGGGAATCTTCAGAGCCCACCTCCATTTTATATAATATTTTTTGAGTTAAAACTTTTTTAAAAATTATAAATAGGATGTGAATATTTTAGAGAATGTACAAAATACCAAAAGATCTGAAGGAAGAAAATAACACCTAGAATCTCACTGCATAAAGACAAATGAAACTTCACCATATTATCTTTGGTTTCTATAGAATGTGATAGAACAGTGTTACAGTTTTGTATTCTTTTTCCTTTATAACATTTTCATCCATTGTAATTACTGGTGTCCAAACAAGGCAATATTGAGTAATCCTACCCAAACTGGACTATGTCCCATGATTTCCGTTTTGTTTTTTTAGATTTATTTGCTTGAAAGGTAGAGTGACAGGCAGAGAGGAAAGAGAGAGAAAAAATGACAAATTTTTATTCCTGGAGTTTTTCATTTATTTCACATCATTCATTAGATAGTTTTTAAATGTTAAATGTTGATGTTACATTCTGGACAAATAACATGAAGAGTTGCTTTAGGAAGCCTCCCCCTTTATTTTCACCATGAAGAGAGCTCATGTGTGCAGTCAGGGATCACCTGAAGTGTTAGCTCGTTTCCTTTTCAGTAATGTTTCTTTTCTGTTCCTCCCTGAATGGTAGTGCTTCCTGGAAGTTTCCAGCTAGTAAAACGTGGAAAGCCAGGACTGCAGTACACTTCTTGTTAACCTTGGGCCATGTGGATTCGTGGCCTGTTTGTGTAGCACTATAGCTCCTGACTTTACAAGGGAAGCAACTTGACACCTCCTGGCAAGGGAAAGGAGTTGTGTTTCCATAGGAGTGTTACTGTTGATAGGGCTGGGGAGGGGCTCAGCTCCCTTGGAGGGTTGTCTGTAGTCTTCCTGACGTGCTCTGGCTCCATGTGCTGCCTACTCCTGCTCTGCACCCTGCACAGTGCAGCAGGGGCAGCTGCATCTTTGGCTCTCCCTCTTGAGCCTGTTGTCCATGTTCCACACTGCCAGCCTGCAGGAGCAGCAGCCGCGGCAGGCGCTCAGTGTCTGGCCAGTCAGTGTCTTCTACCCCTTCCTGTCCTAAGGTGCTTTGTGCTCTGGGGGTGCTTGCCTTGCCGGAGGTGGTCTTGGTTCTAAGTTTACAGTGAGGTCAGAGCAGCTCTAGGGCGAGGCCTCTGCATCTGCCCCTGAGAGACGCTTGTCACTCCCTATACTAAGCCAGTTCTTTGTTTCAGGTCTTTCTCTCCGAGTGGAAAGGGCACAAAGTTGCCCTCTCACGGCTCACCCGGCTAGAGATGAAGGAGGATTTCCTGCATGGGCTGCAGATGCTGAAATCTCTGCAGAGCAGACACGTGGTTACACTGCTCGGGTTCTGCGAGGAAGACAACACTGTTCTCACCGAGTATCACCCTCTTGGTTCCCTGGGCAACCTCGAGGCGACACTCAACCTTTCCAAGTACCAGAAGGTGAACACGTGGCAGCACAGGCTGCAGCTGGCCATGGAGTACGTCAGCATTATTGACTACCTGCACCGCAGCCCCCTGGGTACCCTGGTCATGTGTGACTCCAGTGACCTGCCCAAGACGCTGTCCCAGTACCTGCTGACAAGCAACTTCAGCATTGTAGCCAATGACCTGGATGCCCTGCCCCTGGTGAACCGCAGCACCAGGACATTTGTCAAGTGTGGCCACCGGGAGCTTCGCGGGGATTTTGTGGCCCCAGAACAGCTGTGGCCCTATGGGGAGGACAGGCCTTTCCAGGATGACTTCATGCCTGCGTACGATGAGAAGGTCGACATTTGGAAGATTCCGGATGTCTCCAGTTTCCTTCTGGGGCATGTTGAAGGGAGTGATATGGTGCGATTCCACCTGTTTGACATCCACAAGGCATGTAAGAACCGGATTCCTGAAGAACGGCCTACTGCTCAGGATGTGCTAGACACCTACCAGAAGGTTCTGAGTTCACTCAGAGACACAGTGCTGGCGCAGACAAGAGAAATGCTGTGAAACTGTGCAACCGTTGACTGGTGGAGGGGTTGCATCTGAAGGAATGTCCTTGAGTTTCATGGTTCATTATTTCCTGCTGTTTGGCCATGTGCTTCTCACTCCACGTTCACGTACACATTTGAGTGTGTTCTACCTTTCCTGGTAGCCTGGGTGAAAGTTGCTGACAAGAGGCAGCTGAGCCTGGGTTTTAACCTGGCTCACGTCCCGAAGGCCAGCTGCTTCCAGCTGCTTCCAGCTGCAGATGTCAGACAGTGGATCTGACCAGCAACTGGGGGAAAACCACCAACATGGAGCCATAAAGAGGCATCACCTGTCCTCACAACTCCATATGTAAGCTCGTAAGAAATGCATACGGAAGGATTTTTTTACATGTCTGTATTAAAGAGACATGTAATTCTCAAGGAGCATCCCCCCCAATTTGAAAGTGGTAGTGACCATTTGGGGTCTCTGGGGCCTGGGACCCTTCATGTTGCAGATGACTGTACCATGAAGTCCATGTGTGTCCTCTTTCCCCAAGGGAAGAAGCTTCCACAGGTGTTCCTGGGGGTTTTGAATGGACAGGGATAACACAGCAAGTATGCCTCAAATGGGAGCTTAGTGAGTGGTGCTTGGGGAAATCCCTTTTGACCTTCCAGATGGGTTTTCTGTGTTTAAAACTAGCGGAACATTTTCCATAAATAAATATCCCTCATCTCTGGGAGGTATCACACCCTTTTACCACTTGGCGTGCATGATTGGATCCTTCAGAAAGGTGTCTGTGCTGGCATCCCAGCTCCTGCAAGGTGGGTTTGGAGCATGTCGACCCTTGATGAGATGGTGAGCTCTGCCTTCCAGATTGGAGCAGGTTTCTGAGTCACCTAGGGTCAGCACTCATCCTCTGGCTCACTGGTTTTAGAGTCCAGGAACAGGTATTTGCGATTGGTGCCCCAGGATGCCGACACTGCTGGTGTGGACATGCCAAGGAGGCACCTGGGAGTGGGAGAGTGTCATCCGTGTATCCTGCCTGGGGTGGATTTGGGAACAGGGTGGCTGTGAGTGTTTCCACTGCTACTGTGGAGCTGATAGGGCACTCTTCACCTTGTCTTTGTTACAACATCTGTTAATAACCTTCTAAGGATGGCTGTAATAAAAAATAAGCAAATGTTGGCAGGCATGTGGGCAAACTGGGATTTTTATTTTATATTTTTATTTTGAATCTTGAATTGTGAGGTACAATTTTGTGTAGGCTGGGATTCTCCCCCCAAACTCCCACCCCCCATCAGATTTTTCAAAAACAGACTTTTCATGTAGTCCGGCAGTTCCCCCAAGCATGACAGAATAAATAGTACAGCCATTTGGAAAATAGTGTGGCCCTTCCTCAAAAACGGATTTTCCAGGTAGTCCAGTAGTCCTCCCAAGCATGAGGGGATCTTCAAACCTTACATGGAAAACGTGTTATAATACATTTCATATGTTTTTAAAAATTACCCTGCGCCAGGCATTGCATGTGTGGTGTTGTGGTCCAGACATTGGGGAGGACACCCACATCGCACATGAGGAGGCCTGGCCTTTGTTCCAGCTCCAGATTCCAGCCTTCTAGGAAGTGGCAGAGGACGGCCACTAGGTGAGTTCCTGCCTGGACTGAGTGTCCAGCTCCCTGCTTTGGTCTGGCTCAGCCTTGGTTGCTATGAGTACTGGGAGGTCAACCAGTGGATATGGAGCTCCTCTTTGTTTCTGTCTCTGTGCCTCTCAAGTAGTTTAATTTCATTTTCCATGAACTTTTGAAACCCCCTCTTACATCTCAAGAGAACTGAAAACCTATTTCCTCATTGTATACTAATTGTAGCATTATTTATAATAGACTAGAGGTAAAATAACCTAAATGAATTCAGTGATTGGATATATGGGACATCCAAATAATGGAGTTTTTCAGCCTTAAAAGGGAAAGAGGCTGCATGCTAAAATAAAATGAGTGAAACATTTTTAAAAAGTTTATTTTCAATAGATATGAAAAGCAGAGTGACACAGAGAGGGAACGATCTTTTCATCTGCTGGTTCATTCCCCAAATGCCTGCAAGAAGCAGGTTTGGGCTTTGCTCAAAGAAGCCAGGAGCCAAGAACTCCCTTTGGGTCTCCAGTGTGGGTGATGGCATGATGTGCTGCCTCCCAGGCTGCATCAGCAGGAAGCTGGATGGCAAGCAGAGCGGCCAGGACTCCAGCCAGCACTGAGGTTGGTGGTGAGTGCTTGAGCTGCAGTTCTACCAACAGTGACACAACACCTGCTCCCATGGTGAGCCTTGAGAACATGGTAAGTGAAAGTAGCAGTTATAAGAGCTACATACTGTGTGATTCCACTTCTATGGGATGTCCAGAATAGGGAAACTCAGAAGCAGAAAGCTTAGTGTTTGCCAGAAACTGGTAGGGCACTGGGCTTAAAGAACAACAGTTGACTGCTTCTGGATGAATGGTGATGATATGTTCTGGAAGAAAATAGTGGTGATGATTGCACAGCTATGTCAGAGTGTTGATTAGACTGAATTGAATAAGAGAGCACCTTTTCTGGTATGTGAACTATGTCTCAGTAAAGCTGTTGGTGGAAAACGACTCTATACAAGCAATGCTTTCCCTTAATGTAGGCAGTTACTATGGGAACTGAAGAGTTGATGTCATTCACATTGTAGTTCTTGTTTAAAGGGTTTTTCCCCTCCTCCAGTAGGATCTGGGTATTATATAAGAACAAAGTTGTCCATTTCAGATTTATTTGGTTTTAATTTTTTTAAAGATCTTTTTATTTGAAAGGCAGATTTTTACAGAGAGAGAAGGAGAGATAGTGAAAGACTTTCATCTGCTGGTTCCATTCCCAAATGACTGCAATGGTCTGAGCTGGGCTGGTCTGAAGCCAGGAGCCAGCAGTTTCTTCTGGATCTTCCATGTTGGTGCAATGGTCCAAAGACCTGGGCATCCTCTATTGCTTTCCCCAGGCCATAAGCAGGGACCTGGATCGGAAGTGGAGCCAGCGCCTATATAGGATGCAGGCACCAGAGGGTGGAGGATTAGCTTGCAATGCCACCATACTGGCCCCTTTTTTAAATGTTGACAGTCCAGCTCAGGTACAGAACACTGGGCTGGGGAGAGTCTACCTTCCTGCTCTGAGACAACCCAAGCTCTGCTGCTGTCTTTGCGACTCAGACAAAGCCAATCTCTAAAACAAGAAACTTGGTGAGAGTCAATTTCCAGTTCTGCTGAGCCTTGCCTTGTTCCCAACACCAAAGAAGTCCATGCCTTCAGGGATCAGTCTTTTAGCTTGTTTTTTGACACAGTTCAATCCCAGCACAGCTGCACAAATCAGGGCTGAGTGTCAGGCACTGTGATGGAAGCACAGCTTGGGATACCAGAACTGTGCCGAATCGGAGGAGCTGAGTTTGAGTCTCAGCTCTGACTTCTGATCCCAATTTCATGCTAACCCACCACCTGGAGGCAGCAGGACTCAAGTACTTGAGTCTCTGGCATTCATGTGGGAGACCTGGACTGAATTCTGGGCACAGGCCTGCTGTTGTGGGCATTTTGGGGGAATGAACTCGTGGATCTTTGTCTCTGAGCTTTACAAATGCATTTTAAAAAGTAAAAGCAAACAAACAAAAATAAAGAACCCTGCAAAAGTCATGAGCCTAAGTATGTCCTAACCAAAGCCTAGACTGGAGGCTCCTGCCTGCAGGGCTCACACGGCTCCCTCAGAAGAGGGCGCTGAGGAGCTGTTGTCCGTCTGCTGGCCAGCACCCACTGCTCCCCCACTGCTCCCGCACCTGTGTTGTTTCATCATACTGTTTGTTCTCTCCTGTGCTGCTGTTCACACCTGTGACGGGAACTGAGCAGTGGTGGAGGGGGACAGAAGGCTTAACTCTTGCAGCTCTCCCTAGAAGGGTCCTCTGTGGTCATCAACATTGCTCATTTTCAGTAATCACCAGGGGTGTGTAACCTGCGAGTGAATGAAGGTAATTTAAAACCCTGGGCCTGGCACGGTAGTCTAGTGGCTAAAGTCCTCACTTTGCATGTACCAGGATCCCATATGGGCGCTGGTTCTAATCCTGCAGCCCTGCTTCCCATCCAACTCCCTGCTTGTGGCCTGGGAAAGCAGCTGAGGATGGCCCAAAGCCTTAGGACCCTGTACCTGTGTGGGAGACCCAGAAGAGACTCCTGGCTTCAGATCGGCTCAGCTTTGGCTGTTGCTGTCATTTGGGGAGTGAACCAGCAGATGGAAGATCTTTCTGTGTCTTCTCTGTAAATCTGCCTTTTCACTAATAAATAAATCTTAAAAAAGAAAAGAAATAATATGTATGTATGTCTAGTCCTCATGAAATGCATGGTGCTTTCCTTCAAAGCTAAGTAAACTTTTTAAAAATTGGCATTTAGTATTGCTAAAGCAAGACCCTTTAAAAATTATATTTACCTGGTTAAACACAATAGATGGAGTACATTTCCTTTTATACCCTCTTGAAACTAAGTAAGAATGGCAATAAAGAAATAAGTATAAATGATAAGGACAAAAAAATCAGAAATAAGGGGGCCTGGTGGTGTGGCCTAGCGGCTAAAGTCCTCGCCTTGAATGCACCGGGATCCCCTATGGCGCTGGTTCTAATCCTGGCAGCTCCACTTCCCATCCAGCTGCTCCACTTCCCATCCAGCTCCCTGCTTGTGGCCTGGGAAAGCAGTCGAGGACGGCCCAAAGCTTTGGGACCCTGCACCCATGTGGGATACCCGGAAGAAGTTCCTGGATCTTGGCTTTGAATCGGCATAGCATCGGCCGTTGTGCTCACTTGGGGAGTGAATCATTGGACAGAGGATCTTCCTCTGTGTCTCTCCTCCTCTCTGTATAGCTGACTTTCCAATAAATAAATAAATCTTAAAAAAAAAAAATCAGAAATAAGAAGCAAGCAAAGAACCTCCACAAAATTTCTCCATATGGGCAGCCAGAATAAACTGCCTTCCATCAGTGCAGGGTGAGACCCTGGAGAGGCTGTGAGTCAGACACCAAGTTCCAGGGACTATGGGCAGGAGTGAGCATTGACCTGACCACTACGAGAAGTATCTGGCTGGAAGCTACCAACAGGAACAGCATGGCATACTTGTCACTGAAAAAAAATACCAAAATGAAGTTATTTGCTTTGTTTTTGAAGAGTTTTTCTATGAACTATTATGGAGGACAGTTTGGAGATTCCTTGGAAATCTGAAAATTAATTTTTGTTATGATCCAGACAGCCCACTCCTGGGAATTTACCCCAAACAGAAGCATACAACTGAGTTATTACACCTATGTTTATTGTAGCTCGATTCACAATAGCTAAAATATGGAATCAACCCAGAGGTCCACCAATGGATGATTGGACAAAGAAAATGTGGTATGTAACACTATGGAGTACTGACTACTCAGCTGCAAAAAAGAATGAAATACTTTTGCAGCAACGTGGATCCAGCTGAAAACCATTGTACTTAATGAAATAAGCCTGTTCCCAAGGACAAACATGTTTTTCCTGTTCTGTAGTAATACACAGAACACAGAAATATGCAACCATTGCATCAGGCAGGCATGAATGCCCCAAGGAAAACTGAAGCAGGATACAGGACCTTGCCAGGCTTCTTGTCCACCAGGGTCCCCTGCTTGTGGGAGCTGGAACAGCTGGGCAGGCGAGCTGAGAGGAAAGGGAATAACCAGGCATCTTCCTGACATTGGCATAGGGGCTGTTTCTCTGCCTGAACATAAGAGTGTGAGACGGTCGCGATGCTTTCCCTGTTACCCCTGGCATTAAGGAACAAGCCTGTCCTCACCTCTGCTCTCTGTCGACCTGCTGCACAGAGCTGCACGCCAGTCACATTGAGCTTTCTTCCAGTTCCTTGAGCCAGCCAGCACCTGCGTCTCCTTCTTTCCTAGTCTGTATACATCAGTCTAGCCCTCCTGGTTTACGATGCCTTTGATACGTGTTATACTCACCCGCTTGGGCTAACCACTGTGCTAATCACACTGCAGTGGGACCTTAAAAGACGGTCACATAATTCACACACATCCAAAAATAACAGGCTGCAGCCCCCGCCTACTCATTGCTCCCTCCACTTAGGCAGGCGACTGGTGCCTTTGAAGTCCACTGGGAGGCTGTAGTTCTATGCACTCGGCCCCTTTACTGCCCCCAATCATCACCTACCTGATCCAGCGTGCCTCACCATAGCGTCACATGTCCCTGAGCAACACAATGGTCTGCCTCACCAGAAGCCTTCCCTCCCCGGGCCTTAAGTTCGAGATTTCACCTCTGTGGGCAACCTGAAGTTGTAGGTCACCTCCAGTGCTGCTGCTGTTACCTGGAGGTCACCGTCGGACATCCATGCAGGTTACCTCTGAGGTTGTGTAGATACACGATCCCGATGCCAGTGTTCTTGTCCAGATACGTTAGAGGGGTGTCGGTCTCTGCAGGTACACAGCTAGGAGTGGGCCTGCGGGCCCGTGTGACTTCGCTACAGAACCGGCCCGGCTGTTTTCCAAGTGGCGGCAACACAAGGTGTCTCATTTAAGGTGTGTGGTGGCTTCGGAGTGGTCAACGTCTTGGGGGCGGGGACCTGTGGTCTTGCTGACCCTGACTGCAACGCGCGGGAGCTGGAACAGAACGCTGCTCCAGTGGCGCTGCAACCTCTGGGGAGCAACGGCTCCAGGGCTGTAGGAGCTGCTCTCCGCCGGAGGCTTCCGTTTCCGTGGGCGCAGACAAGGTGCACCGGGCAGGAAACCTCGGGCTCCGAGGCGCTTCCCCCGGGGGCAGGGTCGGGAGCGGCAGCCAGGCTCCGCCTCTGGGACCCTCCCATCCCCGCCGGCACCGCCCCGGGAGCCCGCAGAGTCTCCCGCCGTGACGGCGGCCGAGGGAGGCGGGTGGAGCGGGGGGGAGAGGCGATGACGGGCGCGCGGCCGTGCGCCACGGAGCAGCGCGAGATCCGAGGCGCAGCGGCCGAGGAGCCAGCCGGGCAGGCACGGCCGCCCGAGGCGGCGGGGGTCGCCATGTCGGGAGCGCGGGGCGCGGGCTGGGCGCTGGGCTCGCTGCTGCTGCTGGCCGCGTCGGTGCTGAGCGCCGCGCTGCTGGCCCCTGGCGGCTCTCCGGGGCGAGGTGAGTGCGTGTCGCCGCCGCCGCCACGGCGCGCTCGGCTGGCGGGGACGAGGCGCGCGGCGGTTCCTCGCACACGAGAAGGGAGGGAAAAAAAAAAACTCCCGGAGCGGTGTCGTCGGAGCGGGACCGCGGGCCTGGGCCCGGCCTCCGCGGTCGGCTCGGCGCTTTTCGCCGCTTTTCGTGGGCACGGCCTGGTGCGTCCTCTGGTGGCTTTTCCTCGAAATAGCGAGGTGCCTTAGATTGGGAAGCCCATTTACTCCACAGACGCGAGTCTGAGTCAGAGACTGGGATTGATCGCACATCCGTCCCCCGTCTCCGGTCCCCCCGGGACCACATCCTTTTCCCCCAAAGGCCCTTGTGGCCGACGACTCGGGGGTCGGAGGAGTACAACCCGCGAGCCGCAGCGTGGACGCCTGGCCTCCGCAGAGATCGCGCTATGTGTGGGAGGTGGCGGCGGGGACGTTGGTTGGAGTTCCACTTCTGGAGAAACTTCCCTCCCACTGCCTTGGGCGAATTTCACAAAGTTTTGGGTGAGGCCGGCTGGCAAGCACCGGCGACGAACCGCAGCCTCGGCTGAGCCTCGCGGGCCCGCGGTCGTGGAGGGGACACTCCTTGGCTCTGCCGGGCCACAGCACCTTTGCTGTGGTCTCCCGAGAGTGGGGTGGCTTCCGAGGCGCTGTGGGACGGGAGGGGACACCCCCCTTCATCCCCAGCTTGCCAGGCGAAATGGTGGAAAACAGGAAGTCCAGCTCCTCCCGTTAGGCCATGGGAAGAAGAGGAGGAGGAGGTCACCCCAGCCCTGGAGGACCCTTGTGACACTCCAGGGCTGTCAGGACTCTGTCAGGAGCCCCTTCAGTCATTGTGGCCGGGCCTGTCGGCTCCCCTGGAGAGGTGGTGGTCATCTGCCCATCTTCGCCTGTCTCCTGTTCTGGCTCCTGGTGTCTGTGCGGGTGAAATTCAGTCTTGTAGAAAAAGCATTTTAGCGAGTGACATTTGGGTGCTGCCTCCCGACGCTGTACAGTGGCAGGGACCTCCAGAGGGTTACATAATCTGTCCAGTCACAACTTGTCAGGGAGATCTTGGCCCAGTGCTGTTTCTGTGTCTTTTAACATTGTTTTGTTTAAGGAGAAAGGTGATTTGTTGACAGCAGCCCTACTCAGGAAAGAACATTAGTGTTTCCTAAGCAGTCCATTCCAATTGGGACAGCCAGGTTTTGCAGCCCACCTGAAGCCCAGATGGGCTTTGTCTTCAGATAGTTTGAGGGTACCACATTTTACTTGCAAGAACAATTAGGTAGAGTCCATTTATTAAGAATCTGACCAGTAAAGCTCAGGGACCAAAGTAGAAATAGGGAGACAGGGTCATCTTGATCACTGTCGGCATAGCTAAGGGGCAATCAAAGGAACGAGTGAAGACAGCAGAAGGGTGGGGGGTGTTTGCAAACCGCGTAGCTGACCAAAGGGCTCAGGAACCAGGATATATAAAGAACTCAACTCCATGGTGCACAAATAATCTCTTTTTGCAAGGAAGACAAATGGCCAAAGGGTATCTGAACACCACCCTCTCTCCCCCCTGCCAGTGCTCAGGAAAATGTAAATGAAGAGCTCAATGAAATGACACCCCCTCCAGTGAGCTTGGCCCTTAGCAAAAAGTAACAAGCAGTGAAGATGACTTTTGCACGAACAAGCTCTCCTACTGCTGGGTGGCTGTGTATCCGGAGGAAGCGCCAGCAGTCTTTAAAGGAGACATCTGTGCTCACAGGGCGGTACTTACTGCTCACACTGGCAGAGACCTGGACACGTCCCAGGTGCCCTTCACCTGAGGAATAGATGGAATTGTGGTACCTGCACACGACGAAACGTGTTTGGCCACTAAAAAGCACAAAATCTTGTGCTTAAAGCTGGTGGACATTGTGTTGTGTGAAATGAGCTAAGCATAGACAAGGTACCACGTGACCTCATAGGCTTTAAGAGTAGGATGGTGGTTGCCTGCGGATGGGAAGAGAGGGGAGAAGAAGGGATGGGAAAGCTTGATTGATCGGTACTAAGTTTTAGTTAGGTGAAAGAAGTTCTGGTACTCCGGATGGTGCAGTGACTATAGGTAACTACATGTTTTAAAAAGCTGGACGAGAGGGTTCTGGATTTTTGTTGCCAAAAAGAGATGATGTGAACGTTTGAGGACATAGTTATGTGACTGTGCGTCGGAATTTGCACAATGTATGCATCTGTTGAAATGTATACTGCTTACATATCTGTTAAAAGTTTTAAAACGGAGCAATTGATTTTAACAGTAGGTTTAACCCACCCAAGATGTCACTTCAATATATAATTGCTGTTTTTTTTTTCTATCAAGTCTGTGAAATCTAGGATGTATTATACACATCCAACATCTCAGTGTAGACACTAAATTTGAACTGAAAAGATGTAGACTGAATTTTACAAAGCAAACTCATATACGTTGTTCCAAACACAGGTAGTTTGCTCAAGTTTTCCGGTGTCTGCCTGGACTCTCAACTTCCTAAAATTCAAGTTAAAAGTAGTTACATACTCTGTTTTATCTTCACTGAGAACTAGATAAGGTAAATTGAGGTAAACCTAGAATGAGAACTTTAGCCCAAGTGAAGGATTCCTTAATCATTGAGGTTATTACAGACAGGATGCCCCAGCAGCCAGGCGGCACTGGGCACTCCGGAGGAAAGACCCCTGTATTTACGGGTGTGGATCTGAGAGTCAGTCCCTGATCCATTGTTTCCCAGGTTTTGTAGTCTTTACTAGCAAGGGAAGCTCACACCTTATCTCAGGCACGTAGACTTACGAGGCGACTTCAGGACAGCTTCAAGGAGCACTCAGTTACCTGCAAGCTGTGCAGCTGGTCTTGGGCGTTATCACACATGGGTTTCCTAGAGACAACGAGCCAGCCATCCTAGCTAAGTGGCAGGTTTCTTTATTTCTTTTCAGAGGTTTCTTTTTCTTTTTTTTTTCATTTTTAAAAATTTTTTATTGGAAAGTCAGATTTACATAGAGAACAAGAGATAGAAAGATCGTCCATCAGCTGGTTCACTCCCCAAGTGGCTGCAATGGCTGGAGCAGTAGCTGATCTGAAGCCAGGAGCTTCTTATGGTCTCCCATGCAGGTGCAGGGTCCCAAGGCTTTGGGCCGTCCTCTACTGCTTTCCCAGGCCACAAACATGGAGCTAGATGGGAAGTGGAGCAGCCAGGACACTAACTCTCACCCATATGGGATACTGGTGTGTGCAAGGTAAGGATTTAACCACTATGCTACTGTGCCAGGCCTAATTTATTTTTATTTGAAAGACAGACATAGAGAGATAGAAATTCTGTCCGCTGGTTCACTCCCGCAGATGACTTGCAATAGCTGAAGCTGAGCCCATGAGAAGCCAGGAGCATCTTCGCAGTCTCCCATGTGGGTGTAGGGTCCCAAGGCTTTGGGCCTTCCTTGGCTACGTTCCCAGACCACAAGCAGGGAGCTGGAAGGGAGGTGGGACATCTGGGATACGAACTGACATGTACCTATATGGGGTCCTGGGCCTTGGAAAGTGAGGACTTTAGCCACTAGGCTACCGCACCGAGGTCCTTTGTGTTCTTTAGCCTGAAAGCCAGAGACTGAATCAACTTTTCTGTCATATGAGATCAGTATTAGGGGACCACTTGTTTTAAATAAAGCATTTTGCTTTAACTCGAGGCAACAGCTGTTTCCCTAACCAATTGGCAGACATTTTGTGACCCTGAGAATGCCATCTGATACACTGGAGGTCTGTGTGCAGTGTGAAGAGAGCGACGCTGGGTCTCCACGCGCTGCCCATGGAGGCTGCTGCTTGTCTTGTTATCCTTCTCAAAACCTGCCTTGGCAACCAAACTCCCAGATAAAGTGGCGGGGCACGGGAAACACCAAATCGTCCTGGGGTCCTGCTAATGAAAGTTCTTCATTGCCACTGCAACTCAGGCTGTGCTCACAGTTGATTTTCTGAGTGGAATTCGGACTCTGAGTTTTGGCTTTGGAATCTGCTGGATTGGGTTCAGATCATTGATTTCAGCAAGGGACTCTGTTGCCTGCGAAGTTTAACTTGTGCTTGTGAGCCTTTACTGGATTGTAAAATGGAGGGAAGGACTAGCTGAGGGCGTTGTCATCATTGTATGGGAAGTCCTAACTTGTGTGCTTGTCACATCTTAGCATGGTGAATTTAGGTTCCGCACTCAGTGCTTTTGCACAGTGGGTGTGAATGTGTTGACGGAGTCCTCACTTGTGTGTGTAAGGGTGCTCTCTGCACGTATATATACCCACATGTGTTCCTGTGCATGAAGAGGTAGGTTGGAGCCACCCGGAAGCCAGGTGCAGGTCTCTGACAAGGACCGGCAGTGTGCTTGCGTCTTACACATCCTTCAATATCTTGTTATTCTGTTTGGATTTTTTACACTCTTTAATGTATTCATTCTTACCAGATTTAGACAAAAAGAAGCCTAGGGAGCTGAAGATGGATCAGGCTCTGCTGCTCATCCATAATGAGCTTCCTGGGACCCACCTGGCTGTGTACTGGAAATCCGAACGCTGCTACCATGTATGTCTCGTGTTCTTATTCACCTTTTTATTGCCTTGGGGTTTGTTCGTTTTCATAGCCAAAGCCTGACACGTGCTAATTCCAGCTGATAGGGAAGGAAACAAATGGGCTAATGAAGAATCAGAAGAAATATATTCAGAGGAGAATTGTATGGCAGTGGATTGCATACACTTCTATCATTCCTTACTCGTCTTTTTTTTTGTAAGATTTATTTTTTTATTTTTATTGGAAAGGCGGCTATACAGAGAGGAGAGACAGAGAGGAAGATCTTCCGTCCAATGATTTACTCCCCAAGTGAGTGCAACGGTCAATGCTATGCCGATCCGAAGCCAGGAGCCCCTTCTGGGTCTCGACTGCTTTCCCGGGCCACAGGCAGGGAGCTGGAAGGGAAGCGGGGCTTCCGGGATTAGAACCGGCGCCCATATGGGATCCCGGGCGTGCAAGGCGAGGGCCTTAACCTCTGCGCCATCACGCTGGGCCCACTCATCATTTTTTTTTTAAGGTTTATTAATTTGAAGGGTGGAGTCACACAGAGAAAGGAAGAGACAAATCTGACATCTCCTGGATTACTCCCTGAAAGGCCAAAATGGCTACGGCAGGGCCATGCCCAAACCAGGGACCAGGGGCCTCTTTGTCTCCCATGGGAGCACAGAGGCCCAGTTACTTGGATTATCTTCTGCTGTTCCCAGGTGCATTAGCAGGGCTTGGATGGAAAGTGGAGCAGCCAGAACTTCTAGAAACTAACTCTGTATTTGTTAGGAACAACAGAAAAAGGTGACTTACCAGAGTTGTCCTGCAGGATGTTAAAATCTGGTAATATGGATGCAGAAATATTAAATCTGGGTCCAGTGCCGTAGCCTAGTGGCTAAAGTCCTAGCATTGCATGCTCTGGGATCCCTTATGGGCATTGGTTTGTATTTCGGCTGCTCCACTTCCCTTCCAGCTCCCTGCCTGTGGCCTGGGAAGGCAGTAGAGGACAGCCCAAACCCTTAGGACCCTACACCTGTGTGGGAGACCCGGAAGGAGATCCTGATTTCTGATGGGCTCAGCTTCGGCTGTTGTGGCCACATGGGTGTGAACCAGTGGATGGAAGATCTTTCTGTTTTCCTTCTCTCTGTAAATCTGACTTTCCAATAAAAATAAATAAACCTTTATAAAGAAATGTTAAATTGTATTCTGTCAGATGGAATAATGAAAGATCATGGTAGTTTCATATTTTTTCTCGAGGAATCTGTAGATATCACATCCAAATTATAATGGGAAGGATATAGGTTGAATAGAGAAATGCATAGTACACTCTGATATGAAAAGTAATATAGGAAACATAGTGGCACTTCTCAAATTGATTTATACATTTAACTTCATTACTGCTAAGGTACTAATGGGTGCTTTATAAAATCTGCAAAAATAAGTCCAAAATTCATGAAAGAGTAAATGAGCAAGAGGATCCAAAGGAGAATGGGCCACATGGAGATGTACTGCGTCGGATAAGGCGCATTGCAAAGCCACAGTTACATCACCGTGGTGCTGCCTCTCGTGCCAGCATCCGTATGGTGGCCGACTTGAGTCCCAGCTACTTCACTTCTGATATAGCCTCCTGCTGATGCACCTGGGAAAACAATGGAGGGTGGCCCAAGTGAAAGACCTGGAACCAGGACATTCTATGGGGGTGCCAGGGACCCAACTATTTGACCCATCATTTGCTGCCTCCTAAGGTGTGAATTACCAGAAAGTTGGAACTGGGGGAGGCTGGCACTGTGGCATAGAGGTTAAGTGTCTGTCTGCAGTGCTGGCATCCATAGCAACATGGTCATTGAGTAACAGCTAGTAGATATGTTTCATCTGTTTTTTTTTTTTTTAAGATTTATTTATTATTTTTATTGGAAAGGTGGATATACAGAGAAGAGGAGAGACAGAGAGGAAGATCTTCTGTCTGATGATTCACTCCCCAAGTGAGCGCAACGGCTGATGCTATGCCGATTCGAAGCCAGGAGCCAGGAGCTTCCTCCAGGTCTCCCACACCTGGAGGGTGCAGGGTCCCAAGGCTTTGGGTCATTCTTGACTGCCTTCCCAGGCCACAAGCAGGGAGCTGGATGGGAAGTGCAACGGCCGGGATTATAATCGGCAACCATATGGGATCCTGATGCATTCAAGGGGAGGACTTTAGCTGCTAGGCCACCGCACCGGGCCTGATATGTTTCATCTAAATGGAACTTTTTACATTAAAAGTTCAAAGTCACTTGTTGCTCAGCATTTGGATATTGTGTTCTGCAACGATCCTTAGAGTTTTACAGAAACTCCTCACTTGTTGCCTGTTTTGCTTTTTTATTTCGTAGTGCTTGTTTGAGCTTCTGGTCAATGTTCCTCAGAGTGAAAAACCGGGGCCAGCCAGCATTGCCGCTGTCCCTATCAGCAGCCAGCATGGGTCGGTCCTGCAGCTGAATGATTCCCGAGCAGAGAAGGAAGTCTGTAGGTGGGTGGCAGCTTTGATGTGCTCTGCGTGACCTCTGCACGCCGTCTCTGTCTTCTGTCCTGTTCGCTCTTAGTGTTCCATCCTTGGAGAGGCTTTTCTGGGCTTTCCTGACCTGTGTGCGGAAGTGCCTGTCTGCCTTCAGAACAGCACGTCCAACTCCGTGATTCTGGATGTAACTGTTTATTGTTCCCAATCTTCACAGGCTGGAATACAGGTTTGGGGAATTTGGAAACTATTCTGTCTTGGTGAGGAGGAACCTTAACGGGAGCAGCGGAATTGCATGTGACGTGGTCATCAATGAGAACCCAGTGGACAGTAACCTTCGTATGTATAAGCTCTGTGTGGATCTTTTCAAATTGGCATTTTCAGACTTTTTTTTTTTTTTTAAAGATTTGCTTATTTTCATTGGAAAGGCAGATTTATATGGAGGAAAGACAGAAAGATTTTCCATCTACTGGTTTACTTCCCAAGTGGCTGCAATGGCCAGAGTTGAGCCGATCTGAAGCCAGGAGCTACTTCCTGGTGTCTCACATGGGTGCAGGATCCCAAGGTTTTGGGCCATCCTCTACTGATTTCCCAGGCCACAAGCAGGGAGCTGGATGGGAAGTAGAGTAGCCGGGGCATGAACAGGTGCGTGTATGGGATCCTGGCACATGCAAGGCAAGAACCCCAGCCACTGAGGTCCCAGAGGTATTGGTTTTTAAGTGTACTGGTAAAGTGAAACACTCCACCCATGATCACCCTGTAGTTTAGCATCTGGACTATAGGTTATCTGTCCAATCTAGTGATGGTATAATAATATACTTACTCTATGAAGTTTAACTTTGATGTATAAATAAGGCTGAAAAGTTAAATACAGTAGGAGGGAACCAGAAATAGGGCAATTGACTGTCAGATACTTCTCTGTCAGACTTTCCTGTGGGGCTGTTGCCTCATGTCCATAACAATTTAGGCACAGGGACAAGAAAGGGTCAAATGAGAGCCTCCACAGCCAAAAGGGTTCCTAAAAAAGCCTGGCCTGAGGTTTTTCTATGGGGAACTCTCCCTGCTGTGTGGGAGAGATTTAAATAAGGTATTGAAAAGGGATGGTTTTGATTGGTTTCTTGCCAATCGAAACTGTTGGGAATGTAAATAAGGGATTGAACTGTGGCTACTTTGGTAGCTTTTTTTTTTTTTTAAATTTTTATTGGAAAGGCAAATTTACAGAGAGGAGAGACAAAAATATCTTCCTTCCACTGATTTGCTTTCCAAATGGTTTCATTGGCCAAAGCTGAGCTGATCTGAAGCCATTGGTTTCTTCTTCTTCTTTTTTTTTTTTTAAGATTTATTTTATTTTTATTGGAAAGGCGGATATACAGAGAGGAAGATCTTCCGTCCAATGATTCACTCCCCAAGTGAGTGCAACGGTCGATGCTATGCCGATCCGAAGCCAGGAGCCTCTTCTGGGTCTCCCACATGGGTGCAGGGTCCCAAAGCTTCGGGCCATCCTCGACTGCTTTCCTGGGCCACAGGCAGGGAGCTGGATGGGAAGCAGGGCCGCCGGGATTAGCACTGGTGCCCATATGGGATCCCGGGCGTGCAAGGCGAGGACCTTAACCACTGCGCCACCGCGCCAGGCCTATTGGTTTCTTCTGAACCAATGCCCATATAGGATACTGGTGCTCCAAGGCAAAGGTTAGCCAACTGGGTGATCGCATTGGCTTCTTGATAGCCTCTTGACTAGAAAGTTAAGCCTCCAGTTATGGAAGCTGAGTAGAGTCCAATTACCTGTCTTCCCTCTGGTGTTGGTGAGCCATGACTTTGGGCCCTGACAAACGTTCAATCTCCAGTCACAGAAGTCTTAACCAAGGCTGATGGTGGGACTTTCCCAAATGCAGATGGTGGGTGTCGTTCCCCAGCTTGTGTAGAGGTACTGTCTGTCTTCTGTCTTTGCCAGCATCCTTCCTTGTGCTAGCATTGGGGTGTGGTGTTTCCTATTTGGTTCAGACTGACAGTGCAGAGGGCTCCTTGGGTTAAGGAGGAAACTTGACTTTTCTAATGGCTCCAGTGTCCTTTTCCTGGCTTAGGTTGCAGTCTGGGAGCCCACACTGCTTTGCCTTGTCTGATGCTCATCTCCTGTCCTGGAGGACAACTGTTTGGTCTTCCTCCGTCTTCCTTGCCCTGACAGTTCTGAAGAGTGTTGTCTGGTTATTGTAAACTGTCCTTCAGACTGGATTGGTGTGTCTTGGTAGGGGTTTTGTGTGGCTTGAGTGGGACACTGGGGAAGTGACGTTTTGTGTAAATCCCGGCACGTTGTGTCAGCAGACGACACTGAATGCAGAATCCTGTTACAAGGTCCATATAAAAAGTGTACTGAAGTACGGAGTGATGAAATGATGCAGTGTGTGTTATCTCTTTTAAAATTCTTGAACCAGAAAAGGTGTGGGGAGGTTAGTAATAAGATGAAGCCAAAGTGACAATATGATAATTCCAGGTGGAAATATGTAGGTTTATTTTAAAATTCTCTATATTTTGTGTATTGTTCCTTTCATAAAGGAAACAATACTTGCAGCTGGCACAATTTCTCAACTGGTTAATCCTTCCTCTTCAAGTGCCCGAATCCCATATGGATGCTGGGTTGTGTCCCGGTGGCTCTACTTCCTTTCCAGTTCCCTGCTTGTAGTCTGGGAAGGCAGCAAAGAATGGCTCAAAGCCTTGGGACCCTGCAACCACATGGGAGACCCGGAAGGGGCTCTTGGCTTCTGATCAGCACAGCTTTGGTCATTGTGGCCATTTGGGGCGTGAACCAGTAGATGAAGATCTTTCTTTGTCTCTCTTTTCTGTAGATCTCCCTTTCTTAAATGAGTCAAAAAAAAAAAAAAAGAATATTTCATTCTTAAGATTCTCAATTATTTGTAAGAAATTTAGCATCAGAAAGTGGAGTTTTTATTATTATTTTTTTTTGTTTCCTTTCCCATTTCAGATTCAGTGTAATGATATGACAACTGTGGTGCTTATTATAACATTTTTTGGTGATAATGGTTTTTTTCTCTTCACAGCTGTGACTGTTGCATTCCTTATTGGTCTGTCCCTCATCATTGCAGTGTGCCTCCTAAGGCTGTTGTTAAGGTAAGTTGTTAGGGAAAGACAGAATTGAGGAGGGGAGAACATAGTTGCATTGCAGTTATATGTTTAGAATGGTAGATTGGCCCCTCTAGTGAGCATTAGCCCTTGATGAACTGAATATTTTGGAGTCTGCTATGTTTGATCCAGTTCTGGGCATTGGAGAGTTAGTGTAGATGAAGACTTCTGACTTCAGGGAAATAACAGCCAAGATTCTAGCACGTTTTTGCCTTCTCTGTGGCTGAAAATGAATCAAATGCTTGAAAACTAATTATTACCTAAAAGATCTCATGTCCTAGCCCTGAGCTAGTACAAGTCGCTTATGATGCTTTAAAGATTTTTATATATTTGTTTGAGTAGCACAGAGATAGAAGAAGGAAATGCTGGTTCAGTCTCCTAAATGCCTGGGCTGGGCTAGCTGAAGCAGGTGCTGGGAGCTCAGTTCAGCTTGGCAGGAATCTGACCACTTCCTCCCGGGCTCTGCACTGGCACACAGTTGCAGTCTGGCGTGGACACAAGACTCTACTAGTCTTGCTTGTCAAGCTTTTTTTAAATTTTATTTTATTTATTTATTTTTGTTGTTGTTGAAAAGTCAGCTTTTCAGAGGAGAGAGACAGAAAGATCTTCCACATGCTGGTTCACTCCACAAGTGGCCATCATGGCCAGAGCTGAGCCAATCTGAAGACAGGAGCTTCTTCTGGGTCTCCCACGCAGGTGCAGGGTCCCAAGGCCTTGGGCCATCCTCGACTGCTTTCCTAAGCCACTAGCAGGGAGCTGGATGGGAAATAGAATAGCTGGGACACAAGTTGGCGCTCATATGGGATACTGGTGCATGCAAGGTGAGGATTTAGCCACTGAGCTGTCGCACTGGCCCCCTTGATAAGATTTGGGTACTTGTCCAGTGTGTTATGTGCTTCCCTTTGTACTGTCCATATGGATGGATTTACCGTGTTCCTTTTTAAAGGTATTAACTACTAAGAAATAGCACTAGCAAGGAAATTGGCCTTGCCCCACTATGTGATTGAAAGTGCTTCTCACAAAAAAGTTGCTTGTCTAATGCTATGGCTGGCCTCATTCCTTGCTAGAAATTCCTGATAGGCATGGCTCACTGTGTGTCAGGGCAGGGTCCTACATGGTCTTGTGTTGTCAGATCTTTATCCCCTGTAGTCTGGTGGTACGGTTCCTTAGCCTTTCTTGGTCTTTCAGGCCAGTCTTTCATGGCCTGGATCTTTGGAGGAGTATTTGCCTCATTTAGGAGTGACGATTTTCATTTCTGAAAACCCAGGAAAGTTAGGTTAGTCTGAAGGAGAAAATAACCAGGAACAGCAAAAGGGTAGAAAAATCTGTATCCTTCTTACTTGAAGCGCAGGCATGTACACGGAGGCAAACATTTGTTTTTGTCTTGCTTCATTTTCTCATATCTCAACTTCTGTTTTTATCTTCTTTAGGTTTTCCTGTTTTCACGTGATAGTCACATTGCCATTGCTGACTAAAAGGGAAATGAGTTTGGGGAAGAAAGAGAAATGGCAAATGTGGACGTTAGATGTATGGATTGTGTTTGGGTGCTGATTTGAATTACTCAACTATGGCAAGCTTATGAGACAGGGAAATTGAGCTGTTCACATGATACTTAGGAGTTGTTATTAGCATTTCAAATGTTATGAAGGAATTCTGATTATGCTTAGAAATAAAGATATACTAAAGGTAGTGTATATCTTTCGGGATAGGTACCATGTGTTTGCTCATACATGAAATGATATGATGCCTAGGATTTTCAATGCAAGACAAGAAGAGGGACAGTGATGGGAGATAGGGAAAGAAGATTGGCTATGTGTAGAGACTTGTAGGAGCTGATTGATGTAAGTTCTTCATACCAGTTTCTTTTCTGTGATGCTAAAAATTTTTCAAGGTCAGAAAAAGACAGTAATTTCATGCATTGAGTAATTCAAATGTGGCAAAGCTGTTGTATTTCAAGCTTTTAAGTTTATTCTTACTTAGAGAGAGGAGAGAGAGAGAGTAGACAAAGATCTTCATTCTTTGGTTCACTCCCCAGATGGCCACAATGGCTAGAGCTGAGCCAGGAGCCACGAACCAGGAGTTTCTTCTGGGTCTTCCACCTGGGTACAGGGGCCCAAGAACTTGAGCCATGCTCTACTGCTTTCCCCAGGCCACAGGCAGGGAGCTGGATGGGAAATGGAGCAGCTAGGACTCAAATTCGTACCCACAGGGGAATCTAGTGATACAGAGGGAGAATTAGCTTGCTAGGCCACCATGCATGCCTCAACCTATTGGTGTCTTTTTTTTAAAGATTTCTTTATTTTTTAATTGGAAAGTCAGATATACAGAAAGGAGGAAAACAAAAACAGAAGGATCCTCCATCCACTGACTCATTCTCCAAGTGGCCGCAACGGCTGGTGCTGCGCCGATCCAAAACCAGGAGCCAGGAGCTTCCTCTGTGTCTCCCATGCAGATGCAGGGGCCCAAGGCTTTGGGCCATCCTCTACTGCTTTCCTAGGCTACAAGCAAGGAGCTGGATGAGGAGCTGGCGGGACAAGAACTGGCGCTCATATGGGATCCCAGCACATGCAAGGCTAGAACTTTAGCCACTAGGGCACTGTGGCCTGACCTAATGATTTCTTAACATTGGTGTCATGATGGTGCCTCCCCCAAATGGAGAAAGTTAAGTTAATGCAAAACATAGGTCGTTTTTTTTTTTTTTCCCCCCCAAGTAGGGAAACTTTCTGAAAGACTTTTTTTTTAACCAACTAGACATTGTATTTTAACGATAAGCCAATTAAGGTATGTATCTTTTGTTAAACAATGTAAAATATGCTTAATGACGTTTGGATATGTTTTGGACTTAAATCAGCCGTGAACAGAGGGGAGCATGTGGAGGACTGGCAGGGCAGTTAGGGGAGTTCCCTGGGATGCCCACTTTCGATGCTGAGTCCTGGCTCTGCTCCCCAGTTCTAGGTTCCTTCTGTGAACAGCAGTAATTGAGTACCTCAAGTACTAGAGGTACCCGTCAGCAACTGATTGAGCACCCAGTTCCTGCTTCAGCTTGGCCCGGTCCTGGCTGTTGGCTTTTGTGGGCATTTTGGGAGGAAAGCAATGGATTAAAGATTGATCTCTGTGTCTCGCTTCCTGTGAAATTAAAAAAAAAAAGTTAGGTACAGTAACATCAGCTGTTTGGTCCACTGCACAGCTGCTTTCAGACTTTGTATGAATGCAAGCACTCCTATTTAGTATAATATAGATTTCTTTTTTTATAGTTTATCTTTGTGTGAACAGAATCCACATTCTTGACAGTTTCATAGTTATGTCTATCCTGTCGCACAGCTGTCCTATCCCGTGTGATTATTATGTTGAATGATTTTGATTATTTCCAGCTTTTGGCTATTTTAATTGCGTTATTGATAAGACTCTCAGCAACAGGGACAGTTATTTCGTTTATATTTCATAGTCCTTTAATGAAGACTCCATGCTTATTCCTCATTCCTCTCTCTCTCTCTTTTTCTTAAGTCTTCCTTGTTTACTTGTAAGGCAGTATTACAGAGTGACAAAGGGAGGTACATATGCAGAGACATCATCCACCCACTGGTTCACTCCCCATATGGCTGCCACAGACGGAGCTGAGCTGATGCAGAGCCAGGAACCAGGAGCTTCTCTTGCGTCTCCCATGTGAGTTCAGGGGCCCGATCGCTTGGACCGTGTTCCACTGCTTTCTTAGATGTATTAGCAGGAAGCATGTAAGTAGTAGCGAGTTGTAAGTAGAACAGCCGGGACTTGAACTAGTGCCTTTGTGGGATGCTAGTCACTGGCTTTCCCCACTATGGCCAGGCCCCGCCCTCCCATCCCCAATTCCTTTTTTATTGCTGAGGGAAAATATGCTGTAAGGGTTTGACATTTCTAGGTTCTGCTATTATAAACTTTGATTTCTGTTCTTTGCTGGTTACTTGTTAAGCATTTCATTCCTTGACTAATATAGAAAGGGAACCTGAAATCAGTTTCTTTCAGTTTGACATCTAATCGTTAGGAAAAGTCTGTGGAAGAAAATGAATTAACCGGGGGTAGGTGACTGGTGTAGTGGTTAAAGATGCTGTTTGGGGTGCCTGCACATGCCCTTGGAGAGCCCAGTTCAACTCCTGGCTCTGCTCCCGACTCCCATTCGACTCCAGTTCCCTGCTGGTGTAGACTCGGGGAAGCAGCAGGTGATGCTTGATGTAACTGACACCTATGTGGGAGACCTGGGTGGAGTTCTCAGCTCCTGGAAAGTGAACCAGCAGATTGGAGATCTCTGTCTCTCTGGAATAAAGAGTAGAAAGAAAGAAGCTAAAATAACTGAAGTTTTTATTTCCTGACAGCTTGGATGACTTTAATGATTGGATTTCTAAAGCTATGAGTTCTCGAGAGACTGATCGCCTCATCAATTCTGTGAGTCATTAGAGTTCATTGTGTGTTGCCTGGGTGATTTCCTAAATCTAGAATTTGCCATTTCTTTTTAATAATTATTTTTAACTGGTTTGATAAATGGCGTGCATAGCAGGAGGTGGGTCTTTCCTTCTGCATCCTCTTCTGATGTCTGATGACTCTGCGAGCAGTATTGTTGTACCAGTCCAATAGAGACTTCCCAGATTAAAATGAACAGCATCAACACTCAGTGTATAATTGCTGATGGTAGTAAGTTTATTAACTATGGATATCCTTGTTTCTCTGTATGCTTGTACTTGATGAACTTAAGTATAAATCAGTGCTTTGCTTTGTTTCTTGCGTGGCTGCTGGTCAGCTCTGCAAATGCCCAAAAAAATGATTAAGTGAAAAACTGTTAAGAAAAAATTTTTTAGGTTTGTACACTGTTAATATCTTTGCAAAGAATGAGTTGTGGGGACCTGAGCCTTTACCTGCAGTGTTGGTATTCCAAAAGGGCACCTCTTCAGGTCCCGGCTACTTTGTTTCTGATCCAGCTCTCTGCTTCTTGCATGGGAATGCAGAGGAAGATGGCCTAAGTCCTTGGGGCGCTGCTCCCACATGGAAGACCTGGAAGAAGCTCCTGGCTCCTAGTGTTGGACCAGCCCAGCTCTCATCATTGCAGCCGTTTGGGGAATGAACCAGTGGATGGACGATCTCTCTGTCTCTCCTTCTCTTTCTGTAACCCTGCCTTTACAATAAAAATAAATCTTTTACAAATGATTTATTTATTTGAAAGAGAAACAGTGGGAAGGAGAGAGAGAGAGGAGAGAAAAAGATCCTTTATTGCTTTTTCATTTTTCAAATGGCTACAACAGCCATATCTGGATCAGACCTCAGCCAAGAGCTGGGAATTCCATCTGGGTTTCCCACATGGATGGGAGGCGGTCCAGGAACTTGGGTCATCATCTGCTGTCTTCCCAGGCTCGCTAGCCGGGTGCTGGATCAGAAGTGAACGGCTGGGACTTGAACTGGTGCTCTTATATGGAGAGCTGACATGGCAAGGACTGGCTTAACCCTTGGTATTGCAACACCAGACTTTGTTAATTTCTTCCCTAAAAAGATTAAGAAGTGAAATTTACTCCTTAGCCTCACTAGTTGTCATCTGTGTCACTTATTTTTCATAAAGGAACTGGGATCTCCAAGCAGGGTGGACCCCCTCAGTGGTGACCCCCAGCCGGAAGCATGGCGCCTGTCTATGTCAAATTACCGCCTGCGCTGTGTGGACACATTCCGGGGGTAAGTGGGGCTCCCTGTGACATGGTGGGCCCAGGTAGCCAAGGCCTCACGTGAGACACAGTGGGTTCAGGTAGCCATCACATCACGTAAGACAGTGGGCTGGGTAGCCATCACATCACGTAAGACAGTGGGCTGGGTAGCCATTACATCATGTAATTCAGTGGGCCTAGGTAGCCATCACATCGTGTAGTTCAGTGGGCTCAGTAGTCATTGCAACACCAGTGGACCCGGTTAGCCATCGCATCATGTAATTCATTGCACCCAGATAGCCATTGCATCACATCATCACACAGAAACACACTTAATTCCTGTACATGTTTTATGTGTTCCAGGCTAGCACAGATTTCTAGGCTGTAAAAATGGATATCCCAGTGCAGAGTGTTAATAGCGATGTGCAGTGAGGCAGGCGGGCACAGTTGACTGAGTTAGGGTGACTTGTGCTGGAGACCACAAACTGCGACACGTTCCAAAGAATACAGCAGCATGGGGTAGGTGTTTACTGCCTGCACAGCAACTTTAGGCCTTCTTGATAGCAAACAGGCAGTCAGTACTGTGAATCGTTCCTTTTTTTTTTTTTTTATAATTTTGGGTCAAAGAATGAAGGCTGGCCCAAGTTCTGAAAATAAAGCGTTAGACTATATAATCAAAAACAGATTCATACAGGACAGCTTCTGAAAGCTTGAGGAAAATGGCATTAAAAGATAGGTTTATTTTGCTGTAAACATTTTTGAAATGCATGTGTGCAAGTCAGTCTTCTATTTGTAGCCCTGGAGCCTGCTGGTGTGCAGCAGTAACCTTGCAGTTTGCCACTGCCTTGCTGAGGGCAACTGCTGGGTGTATCCAGGCCAGATGACACAGGCTGAGTTTCCCTTTCCTTGGGAACCTTGCCATCAGAGGTGTCTTGGACTTGAGGCATTTTTGGATTTTGGAATATTGGCCTTTATGTCATGAGAGCTATATTGGACCAGCACATAAATCTAAAGACAAAAAATCATTTGTGTCATATGCCACATTTGCATATACTTGTGTACAAGTAGCTTGAAGGCAAGTTTATGCACTGTTTACTGTGCCCAGTTTTTAAATGTGACCTAAGGCATGAGGTCAGACATGCAATTTTCCACCTGTGATGTCATATTGGTGTTTTAAGATTTTGAGTTTTGGATTTTCTATATGCTGGGATGCCCGACCTATAACAGTGATGAGACTAAAAACTGCTAACAGGGTTTTAGTTCTCCCTTTTTTGCCAGTCACTGCTCTGGCTTGGCTTAGTTTATTTGACTTCTCAACAATCCCATGAGGTCTATACTCTGAATTTCCTGTGGCATGGATGAAGAAACTGAGCCAAGGTTAATTAACTCAACTAAGTTGGGCATTGAGTGGGGGGTGTCAGCGTTAATTCCAGCCATTTAGGCTTTGGTGGGCCCCAGAGGTGTCTCCCCAAAGCCCCCAAAGTCCTCATTCTCAGCGTCTGCACAGGTGGCATCTTCAGAATCTGTTTTATTGCTTCTCGCCGCCCTTCCTGCTAACACCACGTTTGGAGATGAATGTTCACAGGCAGACAGGTGCTGCCACTTACTGAGTGCCTGCAACGCGCTAGCACCGAGGAGATGCCACTAAGACTCATTGCTCAACTTGGGAGTCCCATGCAAGGTCCTTCTCTTGTTGGGCGTGAAGGTGGACTCACCCGATAGAAATCTTGGCCAAGTCCTTTAAGGCTGATGAGAGGAAAGGACCCAAGATTTGGATTCTTTACTTTTATGACTCAAATATTGATGAGCCTTTTACTATGTATTTTAACCTGAAGAATCTTTTTTTTTTTAAAGATTTATTTATTTTCGTTCTAAAGGCAGACTTACAGAAACAAGGAGAGACAGAGAAGGCTCCTCCATTCATGGGTTCATTCCCCAAATGAAGCCAATGGCCGGATCTGAGTCAAACTGAGGCCAGGAGCCAGAATCCTCTTCTGGGTCTTCTATGCAGGTGCAGGGCTTCAAGGCTTTGGTCCATCCTCCACTGCTTTCCTAAGTCACAAGCATGGAGCTAGATGGGAGTGGAGCAATTGGGACATGAACCAGCACTCAGGGATGCCTGTGCTTGGAGGTGTAGAATTAGCCAGTGGAGCCAACACACTGGCCCCAACCTGGACAATCTTAATTAGCACAAATTAAGTCATTAAAAATATTTTTTAGATTTAGTAGTATAATATAATTTTTTTTTTAAGATTGATATATTTTTATTGGAAAGTCAAATTTACAGAGAAAGGGGAGACAGACCTTCTCTCCCCTGGTTCATTCCACAAATGGCTGCAATGGCTGGAACTGAGCTGATCTGAAGCCAGGAGTCAGGAGTTTCTTCTGCGTCTCTCACAGGGTACAGGGTGCCAAGGCCTTGGGCAATCATCCACCCTTCCCAGACACAAGCAGGGAGCTGGATGGGAAGTGGAGCAGCTGAGACACAAACTGGTTCCTACATGGGATCCTGGTGCCTGCAAGGTGAGGACCTTGCCACTAGGCCATTGCACTGGGCCTAAATTTTCATTTCTAAAAAAATGTTGGCAGGCCCAGCATGTCAGCCTAGTAGCTAAAGTCCTTGCCTTCCATGTACCGGCATCCAATATTGGTGCCAGTTCGTATCCCAACTGGTCCACTTCCCTTCCAGCTCCCTGCTTGTGGCCTGGGAAAGAAGTAGAGGATGGCTCAAAGCCTTGGGACCCTGCACCTGCATGGGAGACCCAGAAGAGGCTCCTGGCTTCTGGCTCCTGGCTTCAGAGCGGCTCAGCTCTGGCTGTTGCAGCCACTTGGGGAGAGAGTCAGTGGACAGAAGATCTTTCTATCTCTCGTTCTCTCTGTAAATCTGCCTTTCCAGTAAAAATAAATAAATCTTTTTAAAAAAAAGTTGGTTATTTGAGAGACAGAGACAGATGTGTAGAGAGAAACTGTCCACGTGTTGATTCACTCGCCAAATACCTGCAACAGTTGGAGAGAGTAGCTGAGGGCAGGTGTCGGCTGTGACAGGGACCCATGTACTTGAGCTGTCACCTGATGCCTCCCAGGGCCAGGGTATGCACCAGTAGGAAGCTACAGTCAGGATACGAGCTGGGAAGAGGACCCACGTACTGCTATATGGAATATGTGTGTCTTAATTACCACAACAAAGGTTCACCCCCAGTGGGAGTTTTCTTAAAGACACACACACACTTGACAGACCTTTCCAGGATGGTCATCATGGTTTGAGAAGATGAAGCTTTCTTGCTCTTTAAGTCTCAGCCCAGGACTGCCTGACTGCACCTCCTGTGTGTATAATCACATCCGGCCATGTGGCCACTCCTGTCACATCCACACTCTGAAGGCATTCTCTTTGTTGACTTTCCAGGATAGCTCTCGTGCTCATGATCTTCGTTAACTATGGAGGCGGGAAATACTGGTATTTCAAGCATTCAAGTTGGAATGGTGAGCTCCTTCCTCACAGCTGCATTGCTGGGGGTTCTGCATCCCCTAGAACCTCTACCCTGACGACACTGGCCGCCTTAGAGCTACAGCGCTCCTGTCCCATAAAATGAGGCAGTTTCTCCTGTTGTATATTGTAAATGTATAATGCCTCACTGTGATGACATACAGACCCTACATTTCCGCTGTGGGGCCAAGGGACTCGGTGTTAGGATACTAAGAATTTGGTTATGAATGATTGTTGTCATACCCCATGTGTGTCTTCTGCTGGTCCTCGTATTCTAGAACGTTCTGCTTCCTAACACTTGGGGTCCCTCTTGGGCTGCCACTGAACTGGAATTGATGTGGGAAAAGCTGAATCATGGCTGTAACTCTGGCATGGTAGTTGCAGGCTTTGCTTGTACTCACAGTCAGGGTCTGCCCTGTTCTGTTATCGTTCAGCAGAAATCCCCCTGCCTGGAGATGGGTTACAGAATCTCAAGGGAGAGTGTGTGTGCACCACCTTCGTGTGAGCTTCTCCTCCATAGCAGAATACAGTGGAGTTCATCCTAGATTTGAGAAGTGTTTATGCCCTGGGGTTCTTTTCTTTCTGACTGTACTTATGTTGTTCTGCAGGATTGACAGTCGCGGACCTGGTGTTCCCTTGGTGAGTCCTGGGGTGATTTGTACTCCTGTCTTCCTCATGTCTTTCATGTTTCAAGTGATGCTGGAGTTTGCTTTTGAGACCAGCTGCTAGTCCTGGACTGCAGGCCTGTGTCCTGCTGTTGAGAAGTGCTTCTAGAAGTTGTGTTACTGGCTGGTTGTTATACTTGGTGTAGTGACTATTGCATGTGAGCATGAAAAATGAGTGACTTAATAGGGGACATTTGTGACTGTGGATAAGGGATGCCAAATTTGTTAACATATGGGAAGGCAGCATATGTTCTAAATGCATAGTTCCATTAATACTTGTTCACTGTCCGGCAATGATGGACTTGGTGCATGGAGCCAGTAATCACACACATGGACTACTGACTGATGGTCAATACTGAAGTTATTAACAGCATCAGACTTTTAAAATATATATATATATATATATATTTTTTATTAATTACATTGCATTATGTGACACAGTTTCATAGGCTCTGGGGATCCCCCAGTCCCTCCCAGTACTCTCCCCCCATGGTGGATTCCTCCACCTTGTTGCTGTATTACATTTCAAATTCAGTCAAGATTCTTTCATTGCAAGTATATACGAAGTACAGAGTCCAGCATCTTATTGTCCCGATAAATTCAACAGTTTCTTGGGGAGACCATCTCTGGTCTGAAGGCAAAGCTGGCAGAATATCATCCCAATCAATTTAAAGCCCCAACATAACATCAATGACAATTTACAACATTAATTGACATGGTATTGAGTAACCAGTATATTAAAAAAATATGCAAGTTCTTAACCACATCCTGTGACTACTTCATTGACATTTCAATTTTAGTTTATACACAGAACTAGCGGCTATACACCTTAAAATGGCTATAGGGTACTGTTCAACTGTCTCGTATCTATTTTCGTTTTAGTATTTAGCAGTTTATAGTGTTGAAGCATAATTTTGCTGAACCTGACAGATTTTAGGATAGTCTAAACTGGATTATAACTTTAACAAGGCATATGTCAGCAGTTGAGGTGCAGAACAATTTTAGGAGGGGTGTGCAGAGAAATCTTCAATACCTTAGTGAGGAATAACTAATCTTTGTGTCCTACCTAGTAAGGTATGTGTGAGTCCACAGCATCAGACTTTTAAAGACTGAGGGACACAAAGGCATAAGGGTGATGGGTTGGAGGAATTTACATATCAATAGCAAGTGGGGATTGACTTGAGACTACGGGAGTTCCCAAGCCTTTGCCTGGAAGTACCTTTTTTTTTTTTTATAAAGTAGACTTGCAGATCTAATCAATTATCTTCCTACTAATACTGAAAATCCGTGTAAGGTCATGTTTCCTAAAAGAAATACAGAATTGTGTCAGTGAACACAAAAAATATATAGTGGGCAATGACAGTGATAAATTAAAATTTAGTGGAGTAACCAAGCTCTGTTGCCAATGGTTTATGGCTTCTTGTTCTTGCCGTGGGACACTTCCTGTATGAAGTGGAGTTTGTACCTTTGCCCTGTTGCTTTAAGGAGCTTTGCTTGGTCAGAGGCAGTGCCAGGAGATGGTTCATGTTTTTACTCCCTGTGTTTCATCACTGGGCTTTTACAGGGGATTCCTTGATATTTTGAGATGGGTTAACGTGCCTGAAAACCTGGTGAAATGTTCACGTAAATTCTCTGTGAGGTTTCTTGTAGAGAATTTCTGCTGCTAAAAGCTGGACCTGACAAGGCTGATTCTGATGCAGGGAGCCAGGAGACACCCAGAAAACAGCGAAGGCAGACTCCTCCGTAACCCTGGCCAAATCATTTGGAGAAATTAGTGTTCTGCCTTTTCCTTTATAGATACAATTTAGCATGACAAAAGAAAGGGAAACAGAAATCTGTGTGAGTCAGATGAAGGGAGAGAAGCAGAATTGACTTCCCATTTCTTTCAGGAGCCAAGTGAAGCTGGAAGTGACTGCAAACTTGTTTGTGTTTCTCAGCCACCTCCAGGGGCTGTGGGGGAGTGTGTTGTGATTGGCACTAAATGGGAGGCTTGCGCTTGCAAGCTCCACTCAGGATTTGAACATTCTGCTCCTGAGGCCGACCCTGTGGTACACAGCCTCTGCAGCCCAGCAGGGCAGCTTCAGTCTCCTCCTTGGCTGTTAGCCTGCTGTCATTTCCGGAATGTAGTAGGTTATAGAACAGGGGTAATATGTCAGCAGGCTTTGCCAGTGGCTAGTTACTAATAGCTGGTTCTGTTGCAGGTTTGTCTTCATCATGGGAACTTCAGTTTTCCTGTCAATGACTTCTATGCTGCATCGGGGATGCTCAAAATTCAGATTACTGGGCAAGATTACATGGAGGAGTTTCCTGTTGATCATGATAGGAATTGTCATTGTGAACCCTAATTATTGCCTTGGTCCATGTGAGTATTTTTATCTAAGTCGTTAGTATGTATTCAGGAAAGATGAAAATAGCTGGCATAGTTAGGAGATGTTTCGATTTGGGCGGTAATTATTATTGCATAGATTTGAGTGGCATTGTTGTTATTGCTATCTTGAAATTAGGGTTCCTGCTGTACATATTGGGGGGAGGGTCCCACCTAATTCCTGGCTTCAGGCAGGCCCTATCCTGGCTATAAATGGGGATTTGAGGGAGCGAACCATGAATTAAAGTTAGATCTCACTCTGTCATTCTACCTTTCAAGTAAATAAAAATGAACTTTAAAAAACAAACAAACAAACAAAAACACCCCCACTAGATCTGACGGAGGTCCAAAACGTGAGCTGTTGCTCCTGCTCGGGTTATCGGAGGGATTGTGACCGGGTTGGACTTGTGATGAAGTCAGCATGCCTGGAGGACTGGGAGAGCTGATGAGTGGCCAGTTCCTACCTGGAGCCCTTGCCTTATCCCCACTCTGCGGTAGGACAGTGTTAGCCATGTCTCCCAGCAGGCCAGCTTCCCATCTTGAGTTCCAGGCCTATCCCTCACCTTTTTACTCCATGGGCTGCCTTATTTCTGGCTCTTGGGTTTGACCTATGTCTCCTGATCATAGGGGTGTCTATTCCCATAAGCTTAAAAAAAAAAAAAGACTTAGTTTGAAGCTCGCGTGGTAGCCTAGTGGCTAAATTCTCACCTTGAATCTGTCGGGATCCATATGGGTGCCGGTTCATATCCCAGCTGCTTCACTTCCCATTCCGCTCCCCGCTTGTGGCCTGGGAAAGCAGCAGAGGATGGCCCAAAGCCTTGGGACCCTGCACCCATTTAGGACACCTGGAAGAAGCTCCTGGCTTCGGATTAACTCAGTTCTTGCCGCTGCGGCCGCTGGGGGAGTGAACCAGCAGATGGAAGATCTTTCTGTCTCTCATTCTCTCTGTAAATCTACCTTTTCAATCGAAATTTTTAAAAATCTTAAAAAAAAAAAAAAAACGCCTCAGTTAGATGTAGTCTAGGGGGTTCTCAAAAATTTATAAAAATACGTATAATGCAAAACTGTGCCTGCTGTCAAAATATTTCATGCCATCATAAATGTATGTTGTAAGTCCATTTCTCCATGAGCTTTTAAAGGTATCTTCATGTGGGTAAGTCTGCTCCCTCTGTCTGCACACTGACATGGCTGCTTCGGTACCTAACGTGTGTCTTGTGCAGTGTCCTGGGACGAGTTGCGAATTCCTGGCGTCCTGCAACGCTTGGGAGTGACTTACTTTGTGGTGGCCGTGCTGGAACTCCTCTTTGCTAAGCCTGTGCCTGAAGCCTGGGTCTTGGTGAGATGCTCTGTTTTTAAAAATGGGGGCCTGGGGAGGGGATGAAAATCACGTTAGTTTTTAAAACAGTTTCTACTTCCGAGGACAATAACGTGCTGTTAGTCAAATGTTTACTTTTTACTCCTTTCATTCTGTTATTAATCCTGTGTCAATTTTTATTAAGATGTGGTTATTTTACTTGAAGGAGTTACAGAGAGACAGAGTTAGAAAGACAGAGAGCTTCCATCCACCGGTTCCCTCCGCAGATTGCTGCAATGGGCAGAGCTGGGCTGCTTAGAAGCTGGGAGCCGGGAACTTGCTCTGATCGTCCATATGGGTTCAGGCACCCAAGCACTTGGGACATCTCCTACTGCTTTCTCTGGCTATTAGCAGGGAGCTGGACTGGAAGTGGAGTGGACAGAAGAATGTGGATCTGCACTCAAATGATGCTGTGTCACAGGCTGTGGTGGTACCCCTCTGCCACAATGCCAGCCCCAAATTACCTTTAAATTCCATTTTCTGTGAACTTTTTTCAAGCATCTTTGTGTATCGTATACCATTAAACTGGCACTGAAAATTTCTAAATTTAGGGATTGGTGTGGTGGCTTAGTAGACTAATATTAGATACTCTCCCTGCAATGCTGTCTGTGCTCCCGCTCATGTCCTGGCTGCTCCACTTCTCTCTGTCCTTGTTTGTGTGTTTGTTTGTGTTTTTTAACAGATTTATTATTTTTAATTGCAAAGTCAGATATACAGAGAGCTGGAGAGACAGAGAGGAAGATCTTCCGTCCGATGATTCACTCTCCAAGTGAGCGCAACAGCCGGTGCTGTGCCGATCTGGAGCCAGGAGCCAGGAACCTCCTCCAGGTCTCCCACACCTGGAGGGTGCAGGGTCCCAAGGCTTTGGGCCGTCCTCGACTGCTTTCCCAGGCCACAAGCAGGGAGCTGGATGGGAAGTGGAGCAGCTGGGATTAGAACTGGTGCCCATATGGGATCCCGGCATGTTCGAGGCAAGGACTTCAGCCACTAGGCCACTGTGCTGGGCCCTCCTTGTTTGGTTTTTAAAATTATTTTCATGATACAGTTTCATAGGCTCCCGGATTTCCCCTTCCACCCTCCCAGTCCCTCCCCATCTCTCTTCTACTCTCCACTGCTGTTTTTCCCTGAATTGTAACGCTGGTATAGTCCTTCAGCAACAGTTACAAGTCCATCATTCTGCTAGTTTAGTGTAATATGACAGTCTAGGTATAGACAATGGTATAAAGTCCAGCATCCTATTGTCAAGATGTAGATAACAGTTTCACTGGGAGTCCATGTTTTATTCGGGTGTAGAGATGCATACTGCACTTCTTGGTATGCTAGTCTTCCTTATACAGTTCCTCTAGATGAAGGTTTATCTGTGTATCTGTTCATCTTATATTTTGTGTGAAGGATTGCCTTGTGTCGGTGAGAACGTATGATATTTGCCCTTTTGGGATTGACTTATTTCACTGAGCTTAGTAATCTCTAGTTGGAACCCAGTTTGTTACAAATGGTAGAATTTCATTCTTTTAACGACTGAGTATTCCAGAGTAGATATCTTTATCCACTCAGTTTTTGGCAGGCATCTGGGTTGTTTCCGTGTCTTCACTATTATAGATTGTGTTGCTGTAGATATAGGATTACAAGTCACTTTCTTATATGTAGATATTACTTCCTTTGGATATATTCCCAGAAGTGGGATAGCTGGATCACACAGTAGGTCAGTTTTCAGTTGTCTTAGCACTATCCGTGCTGACTTCCACAGTGGCTGTACTAGCCTAAACTTCCACCAACGAACCACCCACATCCATGCCAACAGGCGTTGTTAAGAGTTCTGAATGAAGGCCAATCTCACTGGAGTTAGATGGAATCTTAATGTAGTTTTTGTCCATGTTTCCCTGATAGCTAGGGAACCTGAACATTTTTTCCATATGTTTATTAGCCATTTGATTTTGATCTTTTGAAAACTATCTGCTCATTTTCTTCACCCATTGCTTCACAGGGTTGTTTGTTTTGCTGTCATTGAGTTCCTGAACCTCTTTGTAAATCCCGGATGTTAGTGCCCTGTCAGTTGTGTGGTGTGCAAAGGTCTTCTCCCCTCCTGCTGCTTGCAGTGCTTCCTCACTTTGCTGATCATTCCCTTTGCTGTACAGAAGCTCCCTTGTTTGATGTAGTCATTTGTCTATTTTGACTTTGGTTGCTTGTGCTTTTGGTAACTTTTCTAAGAAGTCTTCCCTAACACCTATTTCTTGGAGAGTACTTCCTATGTTTTCCTTTCATAGTTTAATGGTTTCTGGGTGCAGATTTTGGTCCTTGATCCATTTAGAGTTGATTTTTGAATAAGGTGACAGTGGAGGTCTTGCTTCATATTTCTGCAGGTTGCTATCCAGTTGTCCCAACAGCATTTTTTGAACAGACCAGGCTTTTTTCCTGAAATATTCTCAGGGTTTTTTTGGTTGTTGTTGAAGATGAATTGGCTGTACATATGTGGACTCCCTTCTGGAGTTTCTGTTCTGTTCTGTTGATCTTTGTTTCTGTACCAGTACCAGCCTGTTTTGATGGTCACTATTCTGTAGTATTTTTTTGCGGTCTTAGAATTTTGATTGCTCCTGCTTGACTTTTATCCTTCAGGGTAGCTTTTATTATTCTTAATCTCTTGTGCTTTCAGATGAAATTTTATATCATCTTTTCTGTTTCTGAGAAAAATGTTGTTGTGTTTTTGGTTGGGACCACATTTAATCTATATATTACATTTGGTAATATGGACATTTTGATGATGTTGATCCTGGTGACCGAGGAACATGGTAAATTTAATTTCCTTTACTTCTTTAAAAATTTTTTTTTTGTGATTTTCATCATAGAGGTCTTTCTCGTCTTTGGTTATGCTTATTCCAAGGTATTAAAGGTTCTCTGCTATTTTAAACGGTGTTGGAGTTAGAAGTTCTTTCTCAGCCATGCAGTTAGTTATCTGTGTATACTAAGGTCATTGATTTATGTTCATGAATTTTGTAGCCTTACTACCCTGCCAAAGTCTCTTACGAGTTACAGTAGTCTCTTGAGTAAGTCTTTTGGGTCTCCTATATACAGAAGCATGATGTTTGCGAACATGGATAATTTGAATTCCTCATTTCTGATTTGAGTTCCTTTAAATTCTTTTTCTTGCCTAAAAGCTCTAGCAAGGACTTTTGTTTTATTTTTTTAAAAAAAAGATTTATTTATTTATTTTTATTACAAAGTCAGATATACAGAGAGGAGGAGAGATAGAGAGGAAGATCTTCCGTCCGATGATTCACTCCCCAAGTGAGTGCAACGGCGGGTGCTGTGCCGATCTGGAGCCAGGAGCCAGGAACTTCTTCAGGGTCTCCCACATGGGTACAGGATCCCAAAGCACTGGGCCGTCCTCGACTGCTTTCCCAGGCCACAAGCAGGGATCTGGATGGGAAGTGGAGCAGCCGGGATAGAACCGGCATCCATATGGGATCCTGGCAGATTCAAGGTGAGGACTTTAGCTGCTAGACCACTGTGCTGGGCCCTAGCAAGGACTTATATATATATATATATATATGTATAGATAGATAGATATACAGATATAATCTGTATATATAGATATACAGATATACAGATTGAAAAGTCAGATACACAGAGAGGAAGAGAGACAGAAAGGAAGATCTTCCGTGTTATAATTCACTTCGCAGATGGCCGCAATGGCTGGAGCTAAGCCCATCAGAAGCCGGGAGTCTCAGGAGCTTCTTCCAGGTCTCCCACAGGGTGCAGGGTCCTAAGGCTTTGGGCTGTCCTCAACTGTTTTCCCAGGCCACCAGCAGGTATGGGATCCCTGCGTGTGCAAGGCGAGGACTTTAGTCACTAGGCTACCGTGTTGGACCCCCTCATGTCTTTTGTTTCCGAATTCTTTCTCAGTATTAGTGAAGTTCTCAACTATTATTTCTTTGACTACATCTTTTAATGCAGCTTCTCTTTCTGTGCTCTCAGGCACTTCCATAACTCATTTGGGTTTAAATGGTGTCCCTTAAGTCTTGGATGCTTTCCTGAGATTGTTTTTTTTTCTGCCTCACTCATTCTGTTATTGAGGCTTTCCACTGAATTTTTAATTCGCTATATTATGTTCTTTATTTATAATAATTCAGCTTGATTTTGTTTCAGTGTTGCTATTTCCTGTGTACCATATTCCTTAACTTCATAGCAATTTTTAAAAAATTCTGTGTCCGCACTTCCATGATGTTTTCGTTAGTTAATTCTGAGATAGAGGTATCATTTCCTCCTTTGCGGCGGAGGTCTCGTTCACCTTACTGTACCTTTATCTCTTCTGTTGCCCTTGATCATTGCGATTCTGATTAGCGAGTTCTTCTCCTTGGTGCTTATTTTAAGCTGTGTTGTGCACAGGTCTACAGGTTGGCTTTACTGATCCTGTTTAGTGTCTGGTTCTTTGCTGTCACTCACACCACTCCGTCCACGCCCGGGCTCCCGTGCTAGGCCTCCACCATGGTCTCCACAGCCCTGGTTCCTGTGATCCCGTGCTATGGCCACACCGTTGTCTGTTCAACCCTTTTTGTGTTCTCAGTTCTAGCAGTACCTGGGATGAGGTAGACAAGAGCTGGGATTTTAACCTAGATCACAGGGTTGTCAGTGGTGCCCATTATACAGATTTCCCCCCCTCTTCTTGCTGGAACCTGCTGGCAGTTATGTCTGGGGGTCACTCGGAACTGTTTTGGATGGAACCTATAGGATGCCAAGTTGGTATTGTTTTCCTGGTGGGACCATGTGATGTGTTGAGTTGGAAGTGATTTCTCCTCTAGCTTAGCACATGCTCAGCTTACCATTCTCCCTCCCTTCAGAGCCTTTGCCAAAGTTACAAAATGACAGCTGCTGAGGTGCTGGTCGGGGTCTGGGTCATGAAATTCACCGTGTCCCTACACCTGACTGCTTGGGCTCTGCCACTCTGCTTCTGTTCCTGTCAGATTAAAGAAATCAGCAGAACTCACAGTTCTGTGGCTGGGTTCACCTTCTGAGTTCTAGGTGATCTCCCCTTCGCACTTGTCCACTGGTGGAACTCCAGTTGCTACTAGGGTATCTGTTTACCACCACTCTGCTGTCTCTGCTGCTTCCCCATGTTCGTGGGTCTCCCAGTGTTCTTATTTTGTTGGCCTGTCCTCTCCTGTTTCCCAGAATTGTGCCCTCTCTGCTTCCCTCAGCTAATCCCTCTCCATTTTGAAAACATGTTCTCATCCTATTCCTCTGCCTTCAGACTCCCCCTGCTCCACTTCCAATCCACCTCCCAGCTTATGCCCTGGGAAAGTTCCTGATGATGACTCAGGTTTTTGGGCTCCTATACCCATGTGGGAGACCCAGAGGGAGATCCTGGCTCTGGCTTTGGATCGGCTCAGCTTTGGCTGTTGTGGCCATTTGGGGAGTGAACCAGTGGATAGATGATCTCTCTGTTTTTCCTTCTCTCTCAGTAAATCTGCCCATCAGATTACAAAAAAAAAAAATCTTTAAAAAAATTCTAAATTTGTTCAATTTGAAAGGTATATATGGGAGGTAGGCAGATCAGGAGACTGTTTTATTCACTGGTTCTCTTCCCTAATGCCCATAAGAGCCAGGGCTAGGCCATGCAAAGCCAAGAGCTCAGAACTCAGCCCAGGTCCCCTCCAGGTGGGTAGCAAGAACTCAAGTAGTTGAGTTATCATCTGTTTAAAATGTACAGTTCAGGGCCAATGGGATAACCTAATGGCTATTAAAGACCTCATCTTGCAGGTGCAGGGATATAGGCGCTGGTTTGTATCCCAGCCACTCTACTCCCCCTCCAGCTCCCTGCTTGTGGCCTGGGAAAGCAGTTGAGGTTGGCCCAAAACTTTGGGACCCTGCACCTGTGTGGAATACCCAGAGGAGGCTCGTGGCTCCTGGCTTTGGATTGGCTCAGCTCTGTCCATTGCAGACACTTGGGGAGTGAAGCAGTGGACAGATCTTTCTCTCTGTCTCTCCTCCTCTCTGTATATCTGTCTTTCCAATAAAAATAAATCTTTAAAAATATATACTGTTCAGTGATATTTTGTGTATCCACTACACAATTCTGATACATTTTCTTTATTCCACCAAGTAGCTACAGCCAGTTCCTGTCTGAGAGCTCCTGTAGTGCTAACTCCTACTCTTGTGTTGATATTATTTTTTAAATCTATAGATTGCCTATTTTGAGCATCTCTGTAAATGAAATAACTTAAAATGTATTTTTTGGTGTCTGGTATTTTATGCTGGGCAGATTTGTTGAGGTTTCATGTCACATACCTGGTCCCTTTCTGCTGCTGAGTAAAATCCCATAAATAAGATGCACCATGTTTTGCTTACCCGTTCCTTAGCTGATGACCATTTGACTGGTTTTCTGCCTTTTTACCACTGTGAGTAATGATTCTGAGTATGTTTGTGTATAGATTTGTGTGTGAGCACATTTTCAGTTCCTAATGAATATTCTGCTCTCAGATTTCAGACAACAAAGTACATATTACATACATGTCTGTATTAGTGCCACACAGGGCGAATCACCTTTTGGCTGCATTTTTCTCTTCCTTAGCCCCTTCGTGATGGTGTTCTTTCCTGTCCCTCCCTCAGGAAAGAAGCTGCATTTGTCTTGGAGATGTCACTTCCAGCTGGCCCCAGTGGCTCGTCATTCTACTTCTGGAAAGCATTTGGGTGGGCTTGTCCTTCTGGTTACCTGTTCCTGGGTGCCCCACGTAAGTGAACCCTCACAGGTCATCCCTTTTTCAATGTCATTTTCTCTGATGGAGGAGTTATGTATTGTCTCAGGGTCGATTTGGGTAGCAGTTGCCTAAACCAAACGCACAGGGCAGAGATGAGAGTGCCTGGGGCCAGTGGGATGCACACGTTTAAAGCTCTTGAACTGGACTCTGTTATCCTTTATGAGGTGTTAACTGTTTATATTCGTCTTCTACTCTTTTAGTGGCTATCTCGGCCCTGGTGGCATTGGAGACTGGGGAAGGTATCCGAATTGTACTGGAGGAGCTGCAGGCTACATCGACCACCTGCTCCTGGGGAGTGAGCACCTTTATCAGCACCCTTCTTCTACCGTGAGTGACAGTGGCTCTGCTTGGACCTAGATGCTTAGGATCTTGGTGAAGGGAAGTGGAGAGACCTGGCCACCTCTAACCTGTGGCCGCTTAGAAAGATGTGATAGGAACTACTGTTTAATCTGAAAAGCTGGCTGACTTTATACTTTGATGTTCACTGTGTGGCAGTGGGTGTGCATTAATCTGGGCTGTAAAGCGATATGCTCTGTGATGTAAGTAGCACGTAGGTCTCTGGATGTCTCATGTTTGGCTTTTCTGGCTGCTGGTTCTGCCGAAAAAGAAAGTTGATTAGGGATCCTTGCTGGACTGTACCTATGGGGGATGAAGTAAACAGGACTGGTAAACAGGACTGGGCAGGGGAGGAGGTAATGGCAGGTGGCTGCCCAGAGGCCTCATTGGCCTCTCAGTGAGTTAGGGTGACACCTCAACCATTTGGTATTGGGGCTAGGGGGGTGACAAACCTTTTCCTGGTTGGACAGGCACTGCCTATAGTAAAGGGGGACTACTGGAGAGGCAGCTTTGCTAAATCCAGGAGAGTTCAGAAAGGTAAGCTGGCTGAGAGCTGTTGTCTGAATACTTGTTGCGTTGCGGAGAATGAACTCTTTAGTCCTACTCTATGCATTTCCAAACCTCCATGACCTCTACATCATGGATGCATTTATTTAAAATGTTTGTATTTTTTTTCAAAGATTTATTTACTTATTTGAAAGTCAGAGATACAAAGAGTCAAAGAAAGAGGGAGGCATGGGGCCAGGAGTGGGTGAGATAAAGAGAGAAAGAAAGAAAAAAAATGAGTGAGAGACAGGGAGATGTTTGATTGCTTGATTTGATTCTCAGCTGGTTGGAGCTGAGTGAATCCAAAGCCAGGAACTTCTTCTGTGTTTCTTGTGTGTTGGCCAAGCAGTTGGGGCCAAGCAGTTGGGGCATTCTTCACTGGTTTCCCAGGTCATGAGCAGGGAGATGGATTGGAAGTGGAGCAGCTGGTACTCAAATGGCACCCTCGTGGGGTATTGGTGCTGCAAGTGGCAGGTGGGCGGGGGGCTTTACCTGCTGTACTATAACATCAACTTCTTCAAGATTTATTTTATGTATTTGAAAGACAGAATAAAAGGCAAGAGAGAGAGAGAGAGAGAGAAAGAGAAGAGATCTTTCATTTGCTGGTTTACTTCCCAAATGGCTGCAATTCCTGGAGTTGGGACGGGACGAAATCAAGCACCCAGAGCTCCATCCAGGTCTCCCATGTTGGTGGTATGGGCTCAAGTACTTGGGCCATCTTCTTCTGTGTTCATAGGCACATTAGCAGGGAGCTGCACAGGAAGTAGAGCAGCTGGGCCTTGATCTAGCACTGTAGGATGGGGTGCCAGGCTTGTAAGTGGTGGCTTAACCTGTTGAGATACACCACTTGCCATTATATATTTATAATTGAAATTACAAATACAAATGTGTGTGTTCTTATTTATTCAAAGGCAGGGAGAAAGAGAGAGGCAGAAAGATCAGAGATCTCCTATCTCCTAGTTTATTCTCCAGAAACTGTCAATGCTTGCAACAGTCAGGCCTGAGTTAGAAGTTGGAAACACAATCTGAGTCTTAACATTTGGGTGGCAGACACCCAACTACTTGAACCACCTTCCCTCTGAGGATTCTCATTAACATGGAACTGGAATCAGAAGTGGAGCTAGAACTTTAAATCAGGCATTCCCATATGGGTTCTGCATGTTTAATCAGCATCTTAACCACTAGGCCAATACCCACCCAATGAATGTGTATTTTTGGGTTGTTTGCCTTAAAAGAAGGCAGGAAGCTGTTGACACACAATAAAGTTGGCCTAAAAGCAGCGCTGAAAATGCTGAGGGTATTGTGGTATTGGTCGCTGATGCATAGCCTGAGAGGTCTGTTGGAAGCTGAAATGTTCACCTTTATCTTCCTATAATCCCAGTGAACGGGTAGTACGGCTGCTCATAAAGGGCAGACACGTTGGGTCCTAGAATGCCTGACAGTTTGCATCTGGTCTGAGGTTGCTGGTATGTATCTCTGTGACTGGTGGCTGAATGCTGTCTTCTTTTTCCATTTCCCTAAGGTGCTGTATCACACCAAGGTGGCCTATGACCCAGAAGGTATCCTAGGGACCATCAATTCCATTGTGATGGCATTTTTAGGAGTTCAGGTAATGTTTGTTTCATTACGATGTTTATGATTATTGATGCATCACAAGTTCAAAAACTGTTTCATTAAAATCACGGGAAGCATGTCCCCTTTTGTGTGATATGAATGTGATATATTCATGTCAGTGAATTGTGTGAAACCGCAAGTTGCTAAAATGCAGGACATTGAGATAATAGGTGTCATTCTTAGATCACCTTCACACACTACAGTGTTTTTATTTATCTGGCTTATGTTAGTAGCAGTGTTTCTGGATAGAAGGTGACCCTGGCGGAGTGTGCAGAGTGTTTGAGTATTGGTCACATTGGGAGGCCATCATGCCACCTAGTCACATGTGTGTGCTGTTAACATATTGAGGCTTGGTCAGTTGGAAGGAGCAGAAAGGTGTTTCCCAATTCCAGAGTCTTGGAATGAAGGAACTGGCAGGTTTGTTGTCCAATGACAACCATTTCTCAGCTTCCAAGATGTACTTTGGCCTCTGGAAGGACACAGGTGTTCTTATATGGTGGAAGGCAGGAGAGCAGAGACACTGAGCTTGCCTCCACGATCCTAAGTAAAAGTCACACTGAACCCACCCTCATGACCTGATCATCTCCCAGAGGCTCCCAATCCCACCTCTTGGTGGCCTGGTTTCAAGATAGGAGGTAGCACAGGCATTCAAAGCTCTGTGCTTGATACAGCCTTAATGTGGATTTATTCTGTGCCAAAGTCAGTATGGGTTATCTCTGGTTTAACTCATGGTTTTGTTAAAATTCTGAACAGTCTAGAATTTTCTTCTGATAGTTTTTGTTGGTGAATGAAACTCTTCTTTGAGGGGAAGAAGTGGGAAGGCATAGAACTGTGATAATGGGAATATTCTATCTGTGCTTCCCACTAGAGCAGCCCCTCGCCAGGGTAGCTGTTGAGTATCTGACACAAGGAACCAATATTTTGTTTAAAATTAATTTAATTTTAAATCATTTTTTATTTTTAGTTTAAAAAATACACACTTGTTTGTTTGAGAGGTAAATAGAGAAAGAGATAGAAAGTTTCTCTCTGTGGTTTATTCTGCAAGTGCTCACAATGGCTAAGACTGGGCTGGGCCAATCTGGGAGCTTTGCACTCAGTGCAGGCCTTTAGCCAGAGTCAAGAGCCAGAGCTGGGTGCCAGAAATACAGGCTCTCTGATGTGCCTCTCAATTGGCATCAAGTGCCAGCTCCTGACTTTAAAGTTACTTAGTTTTAAATGTTTTTGGTGTCAGTTGAATTCAGTAAATTGGTTTTTAAAAAAATATTTATTGATCTATTTTACAGACAGAGCAATAATATTTTATGCACACGCATGTGTGCACACACACACACACACTCAGAAATACATCCATTCACTGGTTCACCCCTATAACGGTTGGGGTTGGGCTAGGTCTGAGCCATGAGTAAGGAATTTTGTCTGTATCTCTCATGTGGCTGTTGGGGACCTAAGCACTTGGGCCACCTTCTGCTGCCTTCTTGGGTGCATTAGCAAGGAGCTGAATCAGCAGAACAGCCAGGACTCAGACTTGTTCTTTCTTGTGGGATTTCAAAGAGCTAATTACAAGAGGTAGCTTAACCCACTATAGCACAAGCTTGGGCCCTGATTTTAAATTCAAATTCAGGTGTAGTGAGTGGTTGCTATATTGGATAGTGCATGTCTAAGTCACATGTATTCTGGTGATGAACTGATTTTTTTTTACTTAGAAATGTTGTCTTTATCTTTACAGTACTTTATACAAGAAAACTTCAGCAAGTTCATGGAAAATGCAAATAAAAACCAAATTTAGTGCAGAAGTAATTTTGAAATCTACAGATTTTTTTTTCATAATATCCATTTTTTTTCCCCCCACAGGATGAGAAAATGTTCTTGCACTAAAGCCAATACTTCTAGTTTCATTTTCCCACAGTTTGCAGTCATCTCACCTTGCACTTTCTCACACAGTCATTTCCCCACTGTGGATGCCCTCTGGGTCAGTCTGTCCAATGCAGAGTGAGTGGAGAAGCCCCACTGCCTGGGGAGGAACCCCACTCTGCCACTTGTAACTGGGGACCTTTGGATCTGTTACTTGACCCCTGTCTGCTGCAGTAGCACCTACTTCCCTGTAAGAGGTTATGACGATTAAATAGGTGAATTCGTATAAAGTTCTGAGAACTGGCACATAGACAACACTAGTACTTTTTAGAAACTATTATTATAAATCATTAGTCACTTTCTAATCTTGAGCCGTTCAAAAATTCACTCCTTTTGGAAGGGTGTCATGCAGTGTCTACATTTTGCTGCTTAAAAATGTTTCCCAGCTCTAGTTCCACTCCATCCCTGTCCCTCATCCATGCTGCCTGATAGGCCATTGAGGAGGCCAGCCTTAGCTGGTCCCTGGCCACTTTGAGGGGAGACATGTGGGAGAAGCCCTCCTCCCAGGTACCTGTCACCTGTGCTGTTTGACTCTTGTTGTGAGCCTTCTGCGCATGCTGCTCCATTGTGCTCAGACTGCTGTTCCTGCAGGGCCACGTCCTGTTTGTGGCCTCAGCCCAGCGGCACCTCCCATCTGATGTCTCTCTGTTCCCATGTTCGTTTTCCAGGCTTTACTAAGCAAGAGCAAGGGTAGTGTTGCATTCCATCTGGTAGTCCCAGGAGTTAGCGGCTTACCTAGCAAATGGATGTTCACTGAGTAACAAAGGCAAAGGATGAATATGAGATAAGACTGTCTTAGTTTCTTGGGTGCTAAGTTACAGTTGGGTGGGAGTAAGAAGCTCAGATGGCTTATTGCATTGTGTAATGATTGTAGGTATGGAAAATGTATAGTATGTTTCTCTAGAGAAAAACTGGAAGAATGATCTTGAGTGTTTCCACCATAAAGAACTGGTAAATTCTTTCCCTGACTTGACAATAGTGTGTACAGGTGGGACCCCATCAATATGATTTTGGTATGTCAGTTGAAATTAAAACTCTCTACAGATCTTAAAAGCAGGGTTTTATTGAAGGCAATTCTTGGTCATGTTGCTCTTTCTTTTCCAGGCAGGGAAGATTCTGTTGTATTACAAGGGTAAGACCAAAGATATCCTGATTAGATTCACTGCTTGGTGTTGTATTCTAGTAAGTAACTGACATTCCTCATTGAAACTTCTTTTCTTCACACATGTACACCTATGCACTCATTATAAAAACTTTTCATTTATGTTGGGGCTGTTGTGGTACATCAGCCTACAACATTGGCATACTATATGAGTATGTGTTCAAGTTCTGCCAGATCCACTTCCAACCCAACTGTTTGGGAAATGAGCAGAAGCTGACCTAAGTGCTGACCTGCTGCCCACATGGAAGGTCCTAGTGGAATTCCGGGTTCCCATCTTTTGGCATTACCCAGCCGTGGCTGTGGTGGGCATTTGAGAATTGAGCCAGCAGATAGAAGATCTCTCTTTGTGTCTGTCCCTCTGTGTGTCTATAACTTTACCTTTTAAACAAATAGGTAGATTAAAAAATGTTTCAAACTACCTATTTGAAAGGCACAGAGAGACATACAGACAGGCAGTCAGAGATGTCTGATTCTCTAATTTATTCCCCAAATGCCCACAATAGCTGGAACTGGGCCCTACTATAGCCAGGAGCTAGGAACTCAATCCAGGCTTCCCATGTGAATGGCAGAGATCCAACTACTTGCTGCTGTCTCCCAGGCTTTTAAAATGTATTTAGTTTTACATGCTACCTATGCAACTTGAGTTATTTTAAAAAGACTTCATTTATCTGAAAGGCTTAGTAACACACACATGTACACACACACATCTTCCCTTTGTTAGTTCATTTTTCAGATGACCACAATGAGTGGAGCTGGGCTAAGCCATGGATAGGAGCCTTGCATTCCATTTAGGTCTCCCATATATGTGGGCAGAGGATTTGGCCATTTTCTGCTTCATTCCCAGATGTATTAGCAGGGAGCTGCTACATAATTGGAGGTAGAGCACCCAGGACACAAACTGCTGTTCTTCTGTGGAACATTGGTGTTACAAAGGACAAGTCAACTTGTTACAACACAGTGCTGGTCCTCAGATTTATTTTTCTTAGGATATATGCCTTTGTAGGTAGAAAAATATTTGCCATCAAACAGCCAAGAATGCTTGAAGAATGGCATGAGGTCTAAACATTGTGTAAGGAATCTTATTAGGACAACCAGACTAATAGTCTCAGGTTTGGAAACTTCAGCTTTCAGATTTGTATTGAGAAAGTAAGTGAACGACTGAATGGGTATTCATTTTACCCCTGACCTTGTAGTTATGTTTGCTGCTAAGGTTCACTCTAATTTATTGTTTAGTTTATCTTCAATGCAGAGGAATACCAAAAAGATACATTTTAGAGAGCAGTTTCAGTTATCTCTTTAAAAAACAGTTTCCAGTTACAGGAGTAAAGTTGAAGCTCATTTTTCAGTTGTTTTTGTTTGTTTAGATTCATTTATTTAATTGAAAGTCAATGTTACAAGCAGAGAGATACGCAAAAAGAGATTTTCTATCCAGTGATTCACTTCCTAGATGGGGATAATGGCTGGGATTTTGCTAGGCCAAATCCAGGAGCCAGGAACTTCTTACAGGTTTCTGCATGGGTGGCAGGGGCCCAAGTACTTGAGCTGCCTTCTGCTGCTTTTCCCAGGCCATTAGCTGGATGGAGCTGGGTTGGAAGTGGTGTGCCCAGGATGTGTATGATTGTCCATGTGGGATGGTGGCCTGGAGAGTGAATTCTGATTTTTTTCAGAGATTTTATTTGTTTGGGGCTTGATGCGATGGCTCAGTGTCTAAATCCTCATCTTGCATGTGTCAGGATCCCATGTGGGTATTGGCTCATTTCCTGGTTGTCCCACTTCTATTCAGCTCCCTATTGGTGGGCTGGGAGTTCAGTAGAAGATGATCCAAAGCCTTGGGACCCTGCACCCACATGGGAGATGCAGAGGAAGCTCCTGGCTCCTGGCTTTGGATTGGCTTAGTTCTGGCTATTGTGGCCACTTTTGGAATAAACCAACAGATGGAAGATCTTTTCTCTCTGTGTGTCCTTCTCTCTGTAAATCTGCCTTTCCAATAAAAATAATCTTTTCAAAAAAGGATTTTATTTATTTTAAATGCAGAGTTACAGAGAAAGTGAGGGAGAGACAGAAAGATGTCTAATTCACTCCCCAAATGGCCACAGCAGCTGGGACTGGATCAGGTTGAAGCCAGGAGCTTCTGGGTTTCCCATATAGGGGCAGGGGCCAAGCACCTGGGCTGTCTTCTGCTACTTTTCCCAGGCCATTAGCAGGAAGCTAGATTGGAAGTGGAGTCACCAGGACTGTAGTTGTACCCATTTGGGACACTGGTGTCACAGGAAGCAAGCTGCTTTACCCGTTACTATACAACGTCAGCCAACAGAGTTGTTTTTTGGGATAATAATATAAAACCTGAACATCATTCTCCTCTTATTATAGGGCCTTATTTCTGTTGCTTTGACAAAAAGTTCCGAGAACGAAGGCCTTATTCCAATAAACAAAAACCTCTGGTAAGTATAGAAAAGTGTCACTGAGGAGTGATGATGTCTCACTTTGGGGTTGGCTGCAGGACCTCATTCTTGCTCACTCCAGGTCAATTTCCTATGTCACTACCCTGAGCTCTTTTGCCTTCTTCATCCTGCTGGTCCTGTACCCAGTTGTGGACACAAGGGGACTGTGGACAGGAGCTCCTTTCTTCTATCCAGGTAAGTGGTCTCTAACCCAGGCAGTCACTGTTCAGGAGAATCAGCAGCATCCACATTGTCCCAGGTGTCCTGGGATGTCACTGGCTGTGAGGAGCCATCCACCCCGTTTTACCTGTTTAAAATGTCCGCCTTCTACATGTCTGGGTTTGATTCCCAGCTCTAGGTGCTGACCCCAGCTTCTTGCCAATGCAGATCTTGCGTGGCAGTAGTGATGGTTCTGAGGCATCATTTGCCTGCCACCTGTGTTGGAGACCTGGGTTGAATTCCTGGCTCCTGGCATCAGCCCTGGCCCAGCCCTGGCCCAGCCCTGACCCAGCCCTGGCTGTTGTCTGCATCGGTCTCTTGTGCCTGATTCTTTGCTTTTTGAATGAAGAGATAGCAAATGGATGACCAGGTGTGACTCAAAACACATCATCTTCCTTTGTCTCTGCTTTAGGAATGAATTCTATACTGGTGTATGTGGGACACAATGTGTTTGAGGACTACTTCCCCTTTCAGTGGAAGCTGGGGGATAGCCAGTCGCATAGAGAGCACCTAACACAGAACCTCACTGCCACCATCCTTTGGGTGCTCATCGCCTATGTTTTGTACAGAAAGAAGATTTTTTGGAAAATCTGATAGCCATCGTGGAAATTTGTCGCTGGAAACACATCTTGTGAGCCTGTGGGAAGTATTCAAACAGCTTTTGTGCAAGAAATCTTTTATTTAGAAATCAGTGGATGCGTTCTTTCCAGGTCATCAGGGGAAACGATGATAAACAAGGTCACTGCGATATGGCTCACCAGAACTCTGCTGGACTGTCTTGAGACCTCCTATTTGGAATGTAATTTGTCTCTTTTCCTTCATCTTCTGGATGTATTTGTGACTTTCTTCTTGTAGAGCTCATTGAGCTCTCCAAAAGGGAATCTCTATGGACAGTTTGCTTCTGTGAAGGATACAAACATCTAAGATCGGACTCTTAATGGATTTTTGTCTTTGTACACCTTTCCGTTCGTATACACATACCAGCTGGACACATTTGCAGCCTCGTGTGGCTGAGTACAAAGGAACTGAATGGCCCATACCATCATCTGGGTGAATATTTATATTAAATACAATTTTGTGTTTCCAGAAGGCCAAGTAGTATTTGTTTGAAAGTCTTTTTTTTTTTTTTTTAAGATTTATTTATTTATTGGAAAGTCAGCTATACGGAGAGAAGAGACAGAGAGGAAGATCTTCCGTCCAATGTTTCACTCCCCAAGTGAGCGCAACGGCTGGTACTGCGCCAGTCTGAAGCCAGGATCCAGGAACTTATTCCAGGCAGGTCTCCCACGCAGGTGCAGGTTCCCAAAGCTTTGGGCCGTCCTCGACTGCTTTCCCAGGCCACAGGCAGGGAGCTGGATGGGAAGTGGAGCTGCTGGGATTAGAACTGGCGCCCATATGGGATCCTGGGCGCGTTCAAGGTAAGGACTTCAGCCGCTAGGCCACCATGGCACCGGGCCCTGTTTGAAAGTCTTAAAAGGGTTTGCTGGGTCCCAAAGGTTTCTGTCAAGCAGCCATTTTCTCATTTCCCTACTTGAAAAAAACAGTTACAGTGTAGATGCATAACTGCCAACCAGCTCACTTACAGCTTCCTGCTCAGGTAACCGCCTTTGTACTTTCCTGTCATTTGTCTGCCTCTCTCTCTCTCTCTTCTTCCTTCCCTCTATCACCTGCCCTCCTGTCTGTCTGTGCCTGTCTGTGGCAGCCAGGGCTCAGGATTGTAGCTGCTGAAGAAAGGACATTGTCCTGCACTTGCCTGTGTGCCATCACTGCTGTGCCTGGTGTGTGTGGTGCTGGGCCAGTGCTGGACCTGTGTGGGCTTTGGTTTCCTCATCTGAAATTACTGGGAAGGTAAAGCTTTGAGCTACCTTCCATGGCTTTCATAGGGTAAGGCAGTTTTTCTGAATCTTCACAGAATTCTTATAGCAAACTCTTCAACAGAAAAAGAACACTTGAAAACAAAACAAAATAAAACCAACTCAGTCTTCAAAAATAGCCCTCTACAATGGAGCCCCTTCTCCTGCTGCAAGTCTCAAACAAGTTCTTAGGTTAGGAGCTGGCACAGTTGCTTGGTAGCTAAATCCTCATTTTGCAAGCACTTGGATCCTTTATAGGTATTGATTCATGCCCCGGCTGCTCCACTTTCCATCCAGCTCCCTGTTTGTGACCTGGGAAAGCAGTAGAGGATGGCCCAAAGTCTTGGGACCCTGCACCCGTAGAAGAAGCTTTTGGCTTTGGATTAGTTCAGCTCCAGCCATTGTAGCAATTTGGAAAGTGAACCAGCAGATGGAAGATTTTTCTCTCTGACTCCACTACTCTCTGTAATCTGCTTTGCCAATGAAAAATTAAAAAAAAAAAGCATTTGTTTTAAAGCTCTTAGGGTAGAGGAAGGTGGACATTGAGAAAACAGCACCTTGCATGAATTTGCCATCACACTCGGGAATTTGCTGTGAGAATGGGATTGGGGCTATCATAGCCAGAGCTGCAGAGAGGGGCATCCTGGGACCTCAGGATAGGAGCAGGGGAGATAGGGACAGGTGAATCCTGAGTTTCTCCTGCTCCATCTTAGGTTCTCTGGGACAGCTGGCACAGGTGGAGGTGAAGACAACTTCCTGGTGACCAACACCAACATAGTGGGGGGATCAGGACAGGATGAGGCTGAAGAGGACATCCTAGGGCCTGCAGGATTGAAGTGGGTCCATAGATTGCATCCAATAGAAGTAATTTGTCCCAGTCATTATGTGGTGAGTCAGAGTGTGAACCCCAGGAAGCCGGGGAAGGTGTATTGGGGAGGTCCTCTGTAAGTTTTAAGTCAAAAAAATGGGCTTTGCAACTTGTCAGCAAATCTATCTGCAGAGGAGGAAAAGGAAGCAGGGAAAAGGGCTTCAGAGACTTGGAACCCAGGTCTACAGGTGAAAGTGCTAGCGTTCCTAGGATCATGGCACACTGGGCACCATCCTGTCTGCTCTGCTTACGTGGGCACTGGGTAAGGGGTTGAGCACCCTGACTCTGGCCTTGCTGGGCCAGGAGTGTCTGACAACACTCCTGACGTCACCATTGCTGAGCACCCATTCCTGTTCCAGAGCAGTCAGAACACAGGCTTCTTAGGGACTGATGGGCTCAGTGTGAATTTTCTAGACAAGAGGTGTCCGGCACAGATGGGTGGATTTGATACAGGCAAATGGAAGCTACTTTCTTCCTGCCCTGCTGATGGCTCTGGAATATAGACATATATTGACCAATTCAGAATAGAAATGTGTTACAAGGAAGAAGACTTGCTCCCAAGTTAGGAAATAAAGCATTTTTGAGTCTTTGAAACAACACCCAATGTCCAGCACAATTACCAGAAATAAAGTATTTGACTTTTTTTGGATGCTGTGTGCTCCAGACAATTACAATGCATAGAAATTAGATCCACATGAGTGAATAAAAACAACCAAGAAAACCAGAGGAGGAGGGATCAAGATAACGAAGAGAATCCTTACTTTAGTCACATAAAAATATTGGAACAACAAAGGAAGGGAAATTTTTCAGTAAGTAATGAGAAAGGAAAACAGCCTAAAGACTTTGAAAGCCAATAACGAACACACCAGTGCCTTGATGCTGGTTCTGCAGTTTGGGGCACACCATCCCACTGGGATCAGTAAAGCAGAAAGCACCATACTTCCTCCATCCCCCAACAGACTGATGGCCCTATGGGAGAGTTCCACATTCTTCACTGACTTTAAACCCAGACTAGACAGCTTAGAAAGCTGACTGGGGGCCCAAGAAACTACTCAGTAGAAAACAACAACCATCAACACAGCAAACCACATGGTGCCAAACTGTGAGCTACTGTGGTAGAACCACTGCTAAACTGTTATGCGTTGAGAGACAGCGAGCAGTTCCCGTTGAAATCAGAAGCACCGAATCTGGACACAGAGTTCTTTGAAGCTGCACCCTGCAGCTGTGGGGATTTGAGGCATGAGTCTTGGAGCCTTGTTCACTTGCTCTGTGTGATCCATGGAAGTTTTCCTTGGCTTTTTGGGGCTCAACACCAGCAGGCAATTTATGAAGTATCTGATAATATCAGACCTGAAGAAGGTCCTTCTTCATCTCCCTGCACCCAGTACTGGGTGCTTGGAGCATGAACTCCACCATTTTGTTTGCATGCCTTCTGGGAACTGGGAGTAGTTCCCTGTGTGTCCTGCAGATGTGAGACAATTGTTGGGATTAACTCGCATTCACCTAAGCTACCTGGAGAACGCTATTTGCATTCCTGTACTTCAGGTGACTAGTCCACAGTTGCCAACACAAATGGCTTGCAGTTTGTGATGATCCCACTGCATCGTGCAGCAACAGCATTGTGAGACCTAGAGAAGAACATTTATGCACTCTACTGCTCCAGACCCCCAACTGCCAGCCTAGGGTTCTTGCCATAACCTATCTTCACTCTGAGAGAAGGAAAAAGATCCCCATTCACATCTTCCAATGCTCAGACTATGGCTTCCAGTGTTACAAGCCTGACTACCAGTCAAATCTCCCTAGAAGGCCCGGGACAGAATCGATCCTCATCCCACAAGATTAGAGCCCCAACCACGGGTGCCACCACCCCAGCATCACTCAGACTTTCCAAACAGGATAAAGGCATAGTCCCTTCAATGCCAACAATGAGGTTACAGCCAGCAGAAATCCTAGTATGACTGACACTCAATTCTTTGGGACTGAACATAGACACCAAAGGAAGCCTACATCTACTCAAAGTCAAACTTCTAAACACACAAATTGCTGCAAGCTAAACTACTGGGACAATCATAGGCATGGCTGGCTTTGGTTAAGCTAAAGAAATCACTAACCACTTGCACTTCTTGGCTCCCCAAGAGCCAAAGCAAAGCCACAATCCAAGCAAGATGCCTTAGATTCACAGACATCAACACAGGGATACAGGAAACATGAAAGAGCAATCAAGCATGGTGCCTCCAATAGGACACAATATTTTTTTTTTCAGGAAATGAATCCAATCTAAAGGAAATGCCTAAAAAACAATTCAAAGTAAGAGACTTAAGGAAACTTGATGAGTTGCAATAGAATCTAGTCAGTCTAAAGTGATGAAAACTGATATGAATGAATAATAAATGTAAATCATGAAAAAATCAGAAATTACAGAGCTGAAGATATTAATGAATAAAAGACACCAAAGGGGACCTGGTGCAGTGGCCTAGCGGCTGAAGTCCTTGCCTTGAACATGCTGGGGTCCAATATGGACACCTGTTCTGGTCCTGGCAGCTTCACTTCCTATCCAGATCCCTGCTTGTGGCCTGGGAAAGCAATCGAGGATGGCCCAAAGCTTTGGGACCCTGCACCCGTGTGGGATACCTGGAGGAGGGTCCTGGCTTCTGGGCTTGGATTGGCGCAGCACCGGCTATTGCGCTAGCCTGGGGAGTGAATCATCAGATGTCTCTCCTCTCTGTATATCTGACTTTGTAATAAAAAATAAACAAAAATAAATAACATCTTTTAAAAAAAATACACCAAAGGGCTTCAACAATACAACAGGACAAGTGGAAGAAAGGATTTCTGCTCTGGAGTACTGGACTTTTGAATAACTAAATCAGTCCTAAATAAACAAATAAATAAATCCTACATGATACATGGACAAGGCCAAATGAAAAAAAATATAGTGATAACAGAAGGAGAAAAAAAAGTAAAAGGTATTGAGAAACATTGCTAGACTGCCCAACAAGGACCCTCTGGCTGCTCAGTATGGAGTAACTCCAGCCCTTGTGCGAGTGGCCCAGAATTTCCCAGGTCACAGTTCTCCTCATGTAGCCTTTCCCTGTCAATTTAGCAGTGGTTGAACCATTCCTAATTGTAGGGCTTGGAAGTCACTCTCCACCAGCAGGAAGGGCAGAGGGGCCTCCAGGCTCTGCATACTGCCCTATTCTGGATTCCCCCTATTGAGTACCTCTTCCAAGGCTGCAACACTCGGAGACTGTTGCTTGCCTACGTTCCACACTGATGCCTATCGGACCTATTGTTCCTAGACCTGAGGTTACATCCTGTTGCCCATGACTTCACTGGGTGAAGGAAAAGAAAACCAAATTCCT